TTTTATTTGTGATTGGACAGTCAAGCAGTTTTAGGAATCTCTCCCTCTGTCAGTTAACACTTTCCAAAGGAAGCATATGTTTGCTTGAGAGATGGACTCAGCTCCCTAGTGTGCAGGTCGGAGGTCACACGACCACAGGCATAAACATGGCTGTGCCTCTGCGGATGGGGTGTACCCCCAGAAGCAGACACATGTTCTGGAAACTGAGCTCCAGTTTCCCTTTGGCCCTCGAAACCTTTGAGTGGCTGAGAGCTCTTCCAGTCCAGCTCCTAAAAGCCTTTATTTCCTCCACTGGCTGCAGAAGGAAAACAGGGGCACAGGCTGGGGGTGGGGGTGGGACCTAGGGCTTTGCGGTCACACGGTGAGGTGGGGGCCTGTCAGGCCTGGAACCCAGGATGAGCGCTTCGGAGTTGTCGGGCACCTGGCCCTGAGAAGGGGTCAGGATGGGCAATGCTGCTGTTCCTGGAGGTGGCCACCTCAGAGGATGGGGATGCCTCCTTTAACTCGGACACCTCCAGCTCCCGAACTTGTACTGAGAGGCTGCCCCATACAATTCGACAGACTGGGAACTGCCAGCGCGGAAGAGCGCCCTGAAGGCCACCTCTTGCAACCCAGCATTTTCCAGAGGGAGAAACTGAGAAAAGGCAGGGCCTTGTTACAGACCAGAAGGCCACCTGGCGGCAGAGCCAGGACCACATCCTGGCCCGAGTGGCTGTCAGGGTGTGCGGGCGACCGTTCCGTGGCCTGCTCCCCTTCCTCCCACCAGGCTCCGCCCGGGGCAAACCGGGCAGGGCCGGGGAGGGGGGTCTTCAGCCCGAGGGCGCCCGAGGGGTCACAGCGACACAAAGAATGGGGCACCCCCGAGGTGGGCTGCCTCGTGAGCGAGCAACTCGGCCCCCCGGCTGCAGGTCTCGTCGCGCCCCCGACATCGCGATAGAGGCTCCCCCGCCGCCGCCGCCTGCGTCGTGACAGGGCAGGGAGACCCGGGTCACCTGCATCAACTCGAAGATGTGGTTCGCCTCCCCGTACTGGGGCATTTCCGCTGGGATGCGGTGCGGGGCCGTGGTCGCATCCATGTTGCCGCTGCGGCGCGCCGCTCCCTAGTAACCGCGTCGCTAGGGCCGCCGCGCCGCCTGCGTCATCACCGCGCGCCGCCCCGGCAGGCCCCGCCCACAGACCTCGGCCCGGGCCCCTGGTTCCCGCGCGCTCCCCAGCCCCGCCGCCCTCGGCAACTAGCTCGGCAACTTGGACTAGTCCTTTCCCCTCCCCCGGCCTCTCCCCGTCGTCCGCGCATCTTAACGGGCGACGCCCACAGGTCGCTTCCACCTGCGCCTTCTAGGGTCAGGGCTGCCCCGGGCCGGGCTCCCCCAGCGCGGAGACCCCGCAACACCGCGAGGGGCCGAGCGGGGCCGGGCGGCCTCTGGGTCAGTCACTGCGCCCTGGCCCGGGCGGCGGAAGCTTCGTGGGCCGGCTCTGGCTCTGCTCTCCGTGCCTCAGTTTCCCCGTCTTTAAAATGAAGAGGCTGGAATAGATGTGGGGGAGAGGCGTCCATGGGACGGGCCGCAGGGCCGAGGGCCCAGCGTCCGAGCCCGGGCGGACCCCACCTCCGGGGCCCAGGTGGGGCGGCGCGGCCACGTGACCCCATTGCTATGGTCCCCGCTGCAACAATCGGGTTGCGGCCCCGCCCCCGCCGACGTCCGCACCCCCAGCCCGCCTCGCAGGTCCTGGAAAGGGCTTCCCTGCGCCTGGGGGCCCCAGACACCCACGAGTCACCCCAGCTTCTGGGTCTCTGAGAAGCGGCGACGCTCGTAGACACGCAAGGGTAAAGGGGGCCGAGGGCGGTCCTCGCCGGCCCGGGGCGCGGAAACCGTGGAGGAAGAGGGGAAGGTGGGGGGCCGCGGGGTGAAGGGGGAGTCGGGGCGAGACGCGACGGGGGAGGGAGCTCTGTGAGTCGTGTTGGTTCCCGAGGGCCGGGGTGGCCTGGTGGTGGTCGCAGCACTGGGCGCTCTAGTGCACGGACTGTTAGTTGAACTCTTACACTGTGCTCTCCACAAACTTGTCTGTGTGCCTCACGGAGCAGGGGTAGGCATAACCAATACCGACAGCCCAAGTTCAAGTCCGGCTCCACTTCTTACGAGCAGTGGGAGCTGGGCACGCCGTTGACCTGTCCTGTGCCTCCCTCCCCTCCCCTGTGAAGTGGGGACTATGGAAGGGGGGGCTCATGAGCTCCTCTTCTTAAGTATTAGCACCTGACATGCAGTGAGCACACAATACATGGGGGCTGCTATTAGTAGTAGTATCTCATTTAATTTTTGCAACAACCCTGTGAAATAGGCACCTTCATTCCCGTTGGACAGATGAGAAATTAGAGGATCAGAACAGTGAAGAGCAGTTGGCTGGGTGCCTTTGAGTAAATCATTTCCCCTTTCTGGGTTTCTTTTCTCAGTTGTTGATCATAGAGCATTAGCATCAGAAGTCCCCTCTCTTGAAGAGCCTCTAATCTAAACTCCCTCATTTTACAGATGGATAAACTAAGGCCTAGGAAGGGGGAAAATCTTGGCCTAGGGTCTCTGGTTAAAATCAGAGGCAGGGCCAGGGCTTGAACTAGGCATCCCGAGGGCAGCCAACGCCCTTTGCTAGCAGTCAGCAGCCCAGAGGAATGCCCCCCAATGGTAAAAAGCAGCAGTGTTGCCTCTTCCCCCCCAACCGCTTCCTCAAAGTGTGCCTACCTTGGCAGGCTTGTCAAACCCACCTGTAAAGATAGCCATGGAAGAAAAGGAAGCTGCCTCCCCCTGAACAAAGAATACAACAACCAAGCCTGCAATTTGCACTGGAGAGGTTCAGTTTGCTTCCTGGACATTTCTGAAATGACTTGCCTTTCTCCTCATTTATTTTAAGCCCTAGGCACTTTTCATACCATGATTTAATCTTCTGTAGCAGCCTGGAAAAAATACAAATCAATTAAAGCCCAAAACCTATTGGGTAATCATTTTTTTCCCTCCCTCCTCCTCCCCCAGATTGAAAAGTGCCTGCACCCTGTGCCTTTCATCCACACCAATGTGGCTGTAGTGGCTGTGGTTCAAGGGATGATCGCTTTGGATAGCTTATTACAGCTCCTCTCGTGACATTCCTGGTGTGCATGTCACGAGTCGCTAGGATCAAGAACAGAGTCAGTTTTGCTCTCAGGGACTCTTGGGGCCACCAGCCAAGGTAGCACTGTATCCCTGGAGAACTTGGAAGGCCCAGGAGGGTGGCAGGCAGCTGGGCACACAAAGGATAGCCCCCTGAATGTGAGTCCTTATTGCTTTGGAATGGGGAAGATGAAAAGTCTAGAGGGAGTAGAAGTGAGACCCAGGGCTGTACCTAGTGGATGAACCCTAGGAGAAGTTGGCAGCTTTGCAGGCCCTTGGTGTCCTCCTCCTACCCCTGCCAAGTCAGTCTGATGTCTGGTCTGTTTTGTCTTTAAGGCCATCTTTGAGGGAGAGAAGGGGGAAGGGAAGTGTCCAAGCTGAGAGCCTTGACTAACTTATCGGCAAGTCCTGGCTTGCACACTTCCTTATCTGGCCTCAGCTTCATTATCTGTCGTGTGGGGATAATCGTGGTACCCTATTCTAGGGCTGTGGCGAGGGCTTGAGATAATGCATGTCTCAGAGCCCTGGCAGTGACCTGCTGCTCTCGGGAGGATTGGAGCGAGCACCCTTCTTCAGGCCAGGATATCGTTGAGGGCCGGTGTGTGGCTCTACTTTACCCTGCCCGTACCCAGCCTCCTCCTGCAAATGGCCCACTTCCCTAAGGTCCCCGCCGCTTCCCTGCTCATGTCCTCCAAATCTGACAGACTGTGCATTTCACTGTGAGCATTGTCTGCCTCTAGGGTGAGGAATCTGGTCTAGTCTGTCCAATGCTGGACAGCCCAGCACCTGATAGCACCCGGCATGTAGAATGAACAAACAAGTCAATGAATGCGCGAGGTGCTTTCTACCCCCTTGGCTTAGAAGCCTTCAGTGTTCTTCCAAACAGATAGCCTCACACCCAAGGTCCCTCAGCCTGACCCCATCTATTGTCTTCTCTGCACCTGCTGACAATGTTCCCATGTACCTGTCCCCCAACCCTCTAGCCCAGGGTCGCCCACCACCCACCTGCTCCAACTCTCCAAGGCCTGCCTTTTCAAGTCTAGGTTCGAACCTCTCTCCTCCAGGAGGCCTAGCCCTCAGCAGCCCCTGCTGCCGTTGAGGTACCCACCAGGCCTGCTGTGCGTTCCCTCACCATTGCATGCATGCTTTGATCACAGTAGCACCGATGGCGCCAATGACTGGGCCCCACCACATTCCCGGCTCCAGGGCCCACACCTGTCTCGTGTGATGCTAACCCCGAGGCTGGGAGGCTGACGCTGTTGTCTCCCTGCAGCACGTTAGGACACTGAGGCTCTGAGACAATCAGTTTGCCCAAAGTCGGCAAGAAGGGGTGGAACCAGGATTGGAACTGGGCCTGTGTAACCGCAGGGCCTTCTCAACCGCCACCAACCGCAGCTCTGAGCATGATGGGGAAAGGCCAGGCCAAGAGGGCACACTCCCCTCCTCCCTGGGAACCTACCTGTGTGCCACTCTCCGGCTTTTCTGGGGCTTTGCCTTCGGAGTCACCTGTGAGCCCTGGGCCAAGATGAGGTGGCAAGTGAGGCACCCACCTTAGCATAAAGTTTGGGGGGGGGGAAATGCAGAAAAAATCATAAGTATTGTAATGCCATATCCTTTAAAAATCAAAATTAGTGCCAAAAGTCCATTTGAAATAAAACCAGAAATTTCAATAAAGACAGGATCAGTATCACTGATTGTTCCCTTTGCCTCAGGCTCCAGTATGGCACGCACAGCAATCCTGTTTCTCTAAGAATTCTGATTATTTTGTCCTTTGGGACTCTGCTAAGTTTTAGTTTTTAAAATATTTGTATCTGGATTGCTGAGTTTTTTGCCACTCCCTTCAATCCCGCGTGGAGGTGAGTACCTCCCTCGCCTGACCCTAGTGGGGCCTCCGTGAGCCTCACGTCATAGGAAGCGCAACAGAAAACCACTGTGCCCGGTCAGCGTGTCTGCTCCCCCGGGGAGGAGGGACCAGCCCAGAGTATGGCAGGTGCTCAGGAAACCCTGGTCCCCACCCACTCCCGCAACCCCGTGGCCCTTCCCTCCGGCAGCCTAGCTGGAAGGAGGCCCTGGCCCACCCCAGGGAGCCGGAGCGCCTCCGTGTCTGTTGGCCACACTGCGCTGTGGCTCCTGCCTCCGAAGTGCTCTCTGTATTCCCAGCAGGCCCCCCAGCTGTGTGCGGTGTGACTGTTGAGGTCCCTCTTGAGGTGGCTCCTCTAAGGCAGCCTTGCTTCCTTTGAGCTCCATGGCTGGGCTCCGCCCCGCTCAAGGGCCTCTTGCCCCGTGTTCTGCAAGTTCTCTGACTTACCTCACCCATCATTTCGGGGAGGCATCTTCTGGTCTATTCTTGTGTTTCCTTTCGTTCCCCCGAGGCCATCTCCTCTTGCCATAGAGACCCCCCGCCACCCCAGATCCAGCCTTGCTCTGGGCCCAGCGGAAAGAAATGCTTCCAGGCTGTATCCTGTTCTTGTTCCTCTCTGCCTGGGAACTGCCTGGAGCCTGAACATGCCTTCCCCACTCTAGTCCTCACCGGGTGTTCTAGCCCCTTCCACTTCATCTCACTCAGACCCTACCTTGGCACAGCCTCCTCTGACCCCTGCTCAGGTGGCACCAGCTGGTGTGTCCGAGCCTGGACTCCATGTGTGCTGGTGGCAGTGGAGGAACAGCTGGATGTGGCAGCAATGAGGATGCTGGTTAAGTCTCAAGACGCCTGGGACCCAGAGTGTCTCGAACAAATTTGATACGACGCCCCAGGCAGGTCTTTTCTCTCTGAACCTCAGTTTCCCCCCTAGTTGAAAGGAGTTGACCTACTGAGATCCCTTCCAGCTCTTAGATTATATAAAGAAGTGGTCCAAAGCACGTGCTCAGCAGAATTGTGATGATCTAGAGTGTAGAACCCACAGCCTTTTCTGCTCACAGGATTCTAGACTCGTGTGGACTGCCCCAATCGTGACAGGCAGGGACAGTGTGTGAGGTACCAAAAGAGATCACTCCCCGCAGCGTTAATGTTACCAATCAGGGTGATTCTGACTGGTTAACACTGGAGCAGGGAGGAGTCCGCCAGCCACCAGCCCTGCCCGCGGAATCAACAGACCTGCGATCAGGGGTCCCGCCCCAAGCGCGGAGCAGGGAGACTGCAATCTTCTCAGACTAGATAAGCAAGTGTCGACTGTTCTCCCTGCTTAGCTCCCGGGAAAGAATACCCACTGACTGCAGGGTGGGCAGATGTTTTAAAATAATGTGGTCCAAACTGATAATCAGCCGGTTTTACATCTGTGGCATAGCCCTTGATCCGAGGCTTTGCTGACGCCACACTCAAGGTTGTGTGTGTGTTACCCACAATCTGGAGAAACTGAGGACCAGCCGAGGGCAGGAAGTCACATTTCATGGCAAACACTGTGTCCACAGGGGGTAAATGCTGAGGGTCAGGCGTAGCTCTCTCGTGGACAACCTGGGGGGTCTTGAGCAGGTCGCCTCCCGGGGTTTCTTCTCAGCGAAGTGGGGATGAAAACAGCCCCTGCCACTCAGGGCTGTGGGGGACACTCAGCACAGTGCCCCACACAGAGGGGCCGTGGGCGTCCTCCCCGGAGCATCCTTCCCTCTGGAGGTGGGCTGTGTGTCTGGCCCCGGGATCTCATGGTGCTCCCCTTGCCCCTTAGATCCCTTCTCTCCCATGTGACCGTGGAGGAGGACGATGAATGAGGTGAAAGAATCCCTTCGCAGCATCGAGCAGAAGTACAAGCTCTTCCAGCAGCAACAATTCACCTTCATCGCTGCTCTGGAGCACTGCAGGGAGAACGCCCACGACAAGATCCGGCCCATCTCCAGCATTGGACAGGTGGCGCCCCTGGCAATGGCCACGGGCGAGTGGGTGGGGTCACGAGGGACTTGCCAGGCTCCCAATTCCAGGGCCTCAGGAAGCTCCGTCCCCTCTCAAGACAACTGAGGCTCAGAGATGGGAAGCGCACTGTGCCCAAATCAGGACCCAGATCCTAACTGGTGCAATGAGTCATTCATTCATTCCCCCCACCACCACCAAATATGAAAGTGAATATCACAGCGTTAAAGATGTGGGCAAGACTCAGCCAGCCAGGTGTAAATCCTGGCTCTACCACATGCCACCGCTGTCACATTGGGTCAGTGAGTTGACCTCTCGGAGCCTCAGTTTCCTCGTATTATGTGGATCCAGTGAAATCATCCATGGGAAATGGGATTTGTCGGTGACCAGACAGATATGGTCCCTCCCATCAGATTCTGCTGGGGTTTGAGAAACATACTAAGCACATCCCTAGTCACTTTTGCAGATGTTTTTGTTCAACTTGCATCTCCTTGAGGTTAGCTGCTGTCAAAGTCACTTAGTAGGACTTGGAGGCCTCAAGACCAAATGAGCCTTCCAGGAAGTTAGGGGCTTGAGCTGCAACGTGGTCAGGACACACACAGGCCAGACCTGGGACTGAAAAGATAAAGGGTGACTACTCAGAGATGGGCTGGGAATGCGGTTCAGGGCTCAGAACTGCTTAGGAGAAGCAGGGTCTTGGAGAACAACCAACCCTTGCTGGCAACATCTTTAAAAACTTTTCTCTAGCTTTTCTAAGATATCTCCCTCGATTTTCAAACTTGAAACGTGTTAAATGTATGGGAAAAAAAACACCCATATAACCTTCACCTAGATTCACCAATTTGGAACATTTAGCCCCATGTGCACAAGCATGTGCCCCTGAACTATCTGAAAATAAGCTGGCTACATCCCTTTTGCCCATCCCCCAGCAGCTCAGCCTTCTAAGGGCACTGGACAGGTTTTCACTACCCAAAAGTACAGCCCCCACCGCCGAGTCTACATCAGCGCTGTGGGACCCCTGCCGGTCTCCTCCTGCACAGAAAGGAGTGGCCTTCTTGCCTTAGGTTCAACCGAAGGCTTCTGGTAAGCATGGCCTTGTATTCCGACTCTTCATCTGGAGTGTTGACTCTGTCACCTGCCCTCCCTGAACCAGGTGTCCAAAGGCTGCCTGCTGCTCTGTTGTAGTTACAACGTGGGGCAGGCTCCTCCTCCTTGCTCCCCACAGCTGCCCCCGCAGGAGTGTGTGAGTCTAAAGCCTCTCCCCCCTTACAAAGCTGCTGTGGACCTGGCAACGCTTGGGAAGGAACCACTTCGGACTACTTGGGAAGCCATCCCTTAGCAACAGAAAGCAACTGGTTGCAGCACGGAAACCCTGGGTTAGACATAGAAATTTTGGGGTGGGGGTGGGGCAACATGTGGCCTTCTGGATCCCTGAGTGCATGCAGCCTTTTGACTGAATCCAGACTTCACAGAAATTAAATCCCTTTGATAAAAGGATTTGTTCTGTAAAATTTAGATTCAGCTGAGGGGCTGTACTTGGGGATCTGGAGGGTCACATGTGCCCTTGAGGCTGCAGGTGCCCCTCCCCACCCCCTACTCCACCATCAGATCACAGAGAGTAGAACTGTTTGGCTGTGGAATGGGTCGGTTAATCTGGCCTAGACCAGAGCCAGTTTCCCCAACACAAGATCAGGCCTCCCGGCCTGGCCCACCCACGAGAAGCAGAGTCACTGGGTGGCCCAGGGCAGCCCCGGAGAAAGAGTTTGGCGCGAGAGGGACCCATCCCCCTACCAAGGAAAAGAGCTGAAAACAGATCAGAGTATCGATATTTTTAGTTAGTACCTTTTATGGCTTAAGAAAGGTTTCCATACTTCTACATCTGAAACATATTCACATGGGAGTTTTAAAGTTTTATTTTTGGTATTTAAGCCCTTGATCCTTCTAGAGTTGACTTGATTTTCTTCACATGGATAATCATTTTCCCCAGCTCCACTTAGCGACCTGTCCCTCCTTTCTCTACCTTGTAAGTACAGTACAGCTAGAGCCCAGAGGATTCCTGTTCCTTCTGTTTCCTCAGTATGGGAGGCCCAACACAGCGTGGGTCCTCTAAATGGGACCATGACATGAAAAGTCAGGGAAGGGAGCAGTCCCCTTTGCTTGAGGAGGTGGCTGGGTTAAGTGACATGGGGACTGACAGAGGGGCATGGGCTCAGAGCCACTGAGTTGGGGCAAAATCCAGCTAAGCCTCTACCGTGGGTGCCATGAGCAGGTTGTTTCACCTCTCTGAGCCTCCAACATTCATGATACTCATTTGTGAAATGAAGATTTAAAAAGGTATCTGTTCAGCGTGGAGGGTTTAGGTGAGGAGCAAGACCAGGCCTGTAAAGCACTTTGTGTGCAGCCTGGGACGCTTGATGTTAACTGTATACGATGGTCTGTATGTTAAAATGCTGAAGCATCGTTTTCATCCCCGCCATGGGTCTGGGAGGGTGGGAGGGAACAGGGCGGGTGCTCCTGGATGTTTGCCCATAAGCCAGCCAGGGCATGGTTGGCATCTCCCCAGCTCACGCCATGTTGGTCTTTGCAGGTGCAGAGCTATATGGAACACTACTGCAACAACTCCACGGACCGGCGGATCCTGCTCATGTTCCTGGACATCTGTTCGGACCTGAACAAGCTCTGCCAGCGCTTCGAGGCCCTGCACTCGGGCACCCCGGTCACCAATAACCTCCTCGAGAAAGGCAAAACCCTTGTTAGCCAAAGCAACGACTTAAGCAACCTTAGAGCAAGGTAAGTCCCTTCTGGTCCCATTCTTGAGGCCTCGTCATGTGCCTGTGGGAGGCTTTTGCTGAGAGGGCAGTGGCTGCACTTTTCCTCTCCTCTGTCGTGTGGATCAAATGACTACTGCCCAGACTGCCCCGAGCAGGAAACCCTAGTCCCCATGAATTTGCTGGAGTGACTCTGACTCAGTGAAACCTCCTCTTTAAAACTGGTCATAGGACCCGTCTCATGGAGTTAGCACCAAGCAAAGGGAGAAGGGGTGATAGAGCAGTTGTTCCCAGAAGCCCACAGAGGCCCTCACTGATACGCAAAGGAGCGGGTGCAGGAGCACCGCGACTGCAGGTCCTCCTCAGAGAACCCCCAGCACAATGTGCCCGAGGCTTGAGGCAGTTCTGTAGATGGGTCAAGGGGATGGGACCAGCAGGTTCCTCTGCCCCTAACCCAGGTCTCTACAAACCATAGGTTAGTGGTTCACAACTCACACCTGGGGCTCCAGGCCCACAAACCTACTAAACCAGAATCTCCGGGGACGCAGAGCCTAAGCATGGTGTGTGTCCAGTTCTGTGCCACCGTATGGTGAGTCCCTGGAGCGTGGGCTCAGCTGGCCCCTCTTGCCATCTTGCAGATACCCCCACGACGTGGTGAACCATCTCAGCTGTGACGAGGCCAGGAACCACTACGGAGGCGTGGTCAGCCTCATCCCCATCGTCCTAGACTTAATGAAAGAATGGATCGCCCACTCAGAGAAGCTGCCCCGAAAAACGCTGCAGCCTGTGAGTGAGCCCTGGGCACTCCAGGAAACCACGGGGAGAGCCACTCGTCCTGTCCAGACCACAGGCACCCAGCTTTTGTTCAGAAAACACAAGTATAGGCAACTCACAAGAGACAGGGGGAAAGACAAAGGATGTTCTAAACCTCCCTGGAGACCACCTGGTGGGAAACTGTAACTCAAAACCAGGGGCCTGCTCTGTGGAGGGGTGCTTTGTTATGGAATTTGCTTTCTACTGACTGATCCATTTTCTTTTGTGCCCACAGTCCCTGCCACTTACTAATTCCAAAAGAGATCAGCCAATATATTATTGAGAAACTCTCTCCCTCTCTTGCTTTAACTTCTAACTTTTCTGCCTCTAAGCGTCAGGCTCTGTGCTGATGAAGAGGATCCCCACTTATACGAGTTGCCCAAAATGTAGTGTTGGTAGAGGGTGTCCCAGGAAATCTGGTAATGAGGAAGGACACTGAGCTGCACCCCCAGGTCCTCTCTGAGCCACACCCACCACGGTGCCAGGCCTGGCCAACCTCCGGGCCCCAGCTTTGCAGTGAGCTGTCAAGCTGGAGGAGAGCACCTAGCTCCTTGCCTTACCAACCAGCCACAGCCATAGGCAAGGCACACGCTCTGTCTGCCAGACAGGATGCTCCCGCCTCCAGGATGAAGTGAGGGTCAGCATGTCGAAGTCCTCAATGTCTTTAGTTCTCTGGACCAAAGCCAAAGAGGAACAAACCCACCTCCTTCCCCTCCTTTACTTGGGAGAGGGGGACCATGCCAGAGGCTGGAAGAATTCTGATTTTATGGCTCCTGTATGAGGACAATGTCCTGGTTTTCACATCACAGTCAACCCCCAAACATTATAAAATGTGTCCCTGGCTTCTGAACTTGCCCAAAGTAAGTCTGACTGTTGGTTTTTCCCTTCACAGGGGACGACTTAGCTTCTGTATTGTTGCTTCCTCAGGGAGAGACAGTCAAGAATAAAGTGTTCTACCACCTCTCTGACTGGCTTGGTTTCCTGGGATTTGTCCCTGAAAGAAAATCTATATTTCTCCTAAGACATCCAAGGACACTGGGCAATAGCCACACAAGCAGAACCACAAGCAGACAGCAGAGAGAAACCACTCTAGTCAGGTGCACACCCATGCCCATCTCTAGAAAGAGTCCACTTCTAAGAGGTTCATGCCAGCGATCCGCAGAGGGCCAGCACTGAGACATTTCTCCAAGGGTGGAAAGTCTAGTTAAGAGATCTATTCAGACACGAAAATCTGAATTTTCAAGACAAACTGAAACCTGCCTGCTCTGAGTCTTTGTCTCAAAGGAGTTGCTTCCACCATTAAAATGGGCAGAGCAATACTGATTTCCAGACAGCCAGGCAGAAAGCAAGCAATTGAAAACCACACTACAGACAGAGCAGACAGGCTGCTCCTTACGTGTATGTTCCAAGCCGAGAGATCCTAAACCAGGGTAGATGTTGACATTGGTAAAGGCGCAGTTTTCAGCCTTTTTCCAAAGCCTTAAAGGGCATGGAGAAGGTGGTGATGGTAGCTGCAACTGCTTCCTTGGCATACTCACAAAACACAACCAGCATGGCTCAGGGTTAGCGAGCGAGCTCTGGGACACCTGCCAGTGGGGTTCCACCAAAGGGACTAGAGGAAACCTTACGTGCTGGCCAACCACCAGGAATGCAAGCACCAAAGGCAAGGCCAGGGGCAGCACAGATTCTGTAGGCCCCCTGGTTTTGGGGCTTTCTCTGGTAGAGAAGTCTCAAGTCACCCTCTCCCCCACCATACACTTGGCCATTCTTTGGGGAAGAGCACGAATTTGAGGCAGATAAAGATAGAATTTATGATACTCTGGTTTCTCTTCAAAACGAATAAATCTTTCGCCTTTTACTAAAGATTTCCGTGGAGAGAAACAGTTATGAGTTGGTAACCAAATTTTTTGAAGTCTTGCTTAGGCAAGGCTAAGTAAAAAAATAAATAAATTTAAAAAAAAAAAGATAGAATTTATGGCTGTGTGCCACATAATTTACCAGAACAAAACAGGCCTTAGAGACAAAAGCTTGACTCTATTATTTGTCAGCCCCTCTTCCAGTGACTCAAAGCTAAGACCCTCGTGCTTCTGTATCTCTGGACTAGTGCTGCACTTCACCTCTAAGTCTCCAAGGCCAGCATAAGTCACTCCAGGTCAACACAGCAGAGTAGTGCAAAACAATAAATTTTTATTTGTTCACAGTTAAACACAAGCAACTGCCTTGACATTTTAGAACATTCTAAGAAGGACAGCAAACCCTTTTGATTCCAATTCCCATTCACTAAGATTGTACCATTTTCTCTTGCAGTTCATATTTATGGCATCTGATGTGGATTGTTTGACATGCTTTTAAGATCGAGGTGGGAAAGTTTAAACCTTTTGACCAGAGATGACTTTCTTCAATTTAACTAAGAGCAGTCAGTTTAAAAAACCTGTTTCTTTTCACTGATGGGACCCCTTCAAACTGCAAGTTAGCCACATATGGTTCATCCATGATTGAGTTATAAAAATTAGATTATGTCTTAGCAAAATCTGTTCCTCCGTAATATATTTGTGGTCCATAGAAGTCTTCTGAAAAGTGATCACTGATTCTTCCTAGTGCAAAATGCCTGGCTGCCTCTTTGATAAGCCAAAGTATTTGCTACACAGAGCAGCACCGTACCCTCCTGTCCAAACACTGTGTGGAGGTGGGGAAGGGAAGGGAGGGCTTGGTCTGGGGGTTCTCAAACTCTTAGGGTCTCTCCTCTAAAAGATCTATTCCAATGGTTAAGCAGCCTACTTATCCCAGAAGATGGATAATTTTGTGGCATTGGGAAGGAGGGAGAAAGCTCCTCTGCCTTCATTTACTCATTTTAAGACCAAAAGCAGTTGTGGGTGGCGGTGCTCAACTATCCCAGGCAGGTTTCCTTGTAGCTACAGCCACTCTTCTCTCAGGTGAGCACGTACAGACTGGACTGTAGGACAGCATGGAAAAAATGGAAACACAATCCCTTGGGCACATGGAAGGTTCCAGACAGGGAAAGGAGCTACGTGGGAACGAGGGTCACAGCAGCAGCCTAGGGGCCAGTCCCCAGCCTAAACTTGTTCTTTTACCTACAAACAAGAACTTAATCAAGTGCAATCAATGACTTTGCAGCGATCTGGGAGAAGGGTCAGGGGGCACGTGTCACACAGAACTCTGGATGTAAACATACACGAACATCTTCAGACTAGATACATTTCCCTAGTCATCGCAGGTCAACTTTAAAGCATGTACGTCGCAGAGTGAAGACGCAGCAGATGAGGAGCACCGACACGAGTCACCACACACAGGGCAGCTTTCTCCTCCACGAGAGGCAAGGCCTCCTGGGTGGGATGGGGCTTCTCCCGGGACCACTATCTAGGAGTATTGGTGAAGAATGGGCAACAGATACTCCTCCACCCAGCCCTGGACGGAGGCTTCACTCTGCCCAAACCCTCCTCCAGCCCGTTCACACTTCATCCTGCCCTGTAGTGCTTCCAGTGAGAAAAACCCAGTTTTCTCATGCAGTACTTTTGTCTGTTTTTCAGTTCTTTCTGGCTGCAAGTGGTATGTTCTAGTATTTGGTAGAATTCACATTGGCTAGTCACGACATACTTCGGTTCTATTGTCTACACAGAAACACATACCCAGCTTTCTATTCTTAACTGCAAGTCTAGCCTCTGTGGTCCAGCTCACAGAGAGAGATCCTTTCAGCCCCACAACCATTTCATGCGTACTCCTCTGAACAACTTCTAGAGTTTTATCTTTCTCAAAAACACACTGGCAACTACACGTGCTGTCGCAGACAGGGACAGCATGAGAGCCTGGGACTTTGTTTCCTGTCGTTCTGCTCATGCCGAGTGATGTGCTGGCCTCTCCGGCCACGAGGCTGGTGGGCTAATTTTTCTAATTGTCACTGGCTTCCAGGACCTCCAGCAGTTTACCTTCTATGAATAGTTTGGACTATTTCTCCCTAACCACAGCACATAAATTTTGGCTCGCAAAGTAGCTCATCTATCATCTCTCCACTCACAGAGCCTAATAAGAACCTTCTGCAGCTTATTCCCAAAGGTTGGGCAGTTTTCTCTCCTGAAAAACTGTTGGCAAACCTAGCAAGGTCACTGCCTGCCCACCTGCCTTAGTAACACTGGTCCTAGTACATTTTTTAAAATCTCTTGATCCAAATGACCTTGACCTCCTACCTTTAGGTTTCAGTCAGTTTTTGTATATTCATGACCACATATTTCTTCCAGTTCCATAGTAACAATTTTTATAGATTTCATGGTAGCACCCTGTCAAAAGCTTTTGAAAAATCCATAAAAGTTCTATCAAATAGAGATCCATGTGCTTATTTACCTGTAGGAGATTCAGGAACCCATTTTCTCCACGTCTTCCTGTCGCCCTCGCCCCCCTTATTGTAGTGCTTCTTTTAGAACAAATTCTGTGCTGCACAAGCAGCAGACTCCAGTCTTCTCGGGGCCTGGGCTGACCCTGGGTAGCGTCAGGTGGGAACGAGGGCAGGTTATGTGCATGGGCCAAACAGCTCAGACAGGTCTGCTTGCTCACAGGGAGCTGTGGACGGAGCCCATCCAATCCCGACAGTTACGATTACCAAGCTGCTTCGTCCGTTTCTAGACGGGCTCTGCCTTAACACTAACTGTTCTAATGCCTTTGCCCAGCCTGAACTGTCTCCCAGGAGTCGTTCTGCTACCACCTTTCCATCCTTGATCTACTCACTGCAGCACGATCAAGTGACCCAAGGACTCTTGTCAAGTCTATCACTTCTAAAACAAAATAAAACCTTATTATTGACCCTGGAGTCCATCACAACATAAAAGCCTAAATTTTGGGGTTGTGTAACTTCAACATGGCTCCAGGTCTCAATCCCCCAACCTTGGTTGAATAAAACTCACAGCCTCCTAGAAATCAAAGGCACCTGAACTGGAGCTCTCCTGGGTCACCCTGGTTGTAAAGGGACAGGCAGGGTGTAAAAATACAGGGAAGAAAGGAGGCAGCAGGCAAGTGCCGAGGGCCCTGAGCACAGAGGCGTCTGAAAGCCTCTAGCCTGGGCCTCAGTCCACTTTACCATGCTGCCTCCTTTCTTCCCTGTATTTTTTTATACCCTGCCAGTTTTTTAAAAGTGTTTTTTTCTTTTCTACATTGGCATCTTTCCTTTGCCAGTTAAGGTAAGGCTTTAAGTGCCTGGTACCTTTGTTCTGTGGCACAGATCTCTCAGGCTTGAGGAGGGGAGAGCAATTAAAGCCAGTTTCAATAGTTAACCTATGACATTTTTTCCCTTTCTGCATTTGTTTGTATTTTCCTTTTCTAAAACTGAACCAGGAAACCAGAACATACTGGATTTTAAGCTTTCCTTTGGACAAAGCTGAAATTAAATGTGTGGCATCACCAACACTCCACGCTGGACATCCAGCGGCCATGGCCAGACTGTGACAGGCACAGAGCAACTGGGGACATGCCCTGCCACGGGCTAGGAATCAGTCACAGCCAGGACGCTGCCCTGAACACTTCTCCTGCCAGTATAGCCATGGTGACATGAGTCTCTAATGGTCTAGTTCCCTTTAGCTAGGGATGCTAGAATATTTATTGCCATATTTAAAAAAAGAAAAGACTTTTACCTTCATGTGCTGAAAGCTTCCATATGCAGTAAAATTTCGTACCATTACAGTTTCTTTTATCTCTTTATGACTGAACCGTTCTATTCTTTTTACTAAAAGAATGGAAGCAGAAAAACCAAGATCATTGGCTCTTTCCTACCAACTCTCTCCTTGCCTCAGCTAGGAGACTGGGCACTAGGCAACAATTCTTAGGCTTCTAGCATTTATTTCAGGAGCACTTGTTGAGTTTGGATTCTCTGCCACTGCCAGTTTGCTGACTGGTGTCACCTCATGCTCTCAGGAGCATGTGGAGACAGCCCAGTGGGTACACACAGTCAGCCTTTGTCAAAATTCTCCCAGACTCTGCTTTACATTACTCTGCCATTGCTAACGTGGGAGAGTGTGACAAAATCAAGCTCCTTGGAGAGCTGGAATTGGTATGAAAAAGCAGCTCCCTTTTTGGTGGCCTAGAACCTACTATAATGAGACAACACTAACAGCCTGAGAAACAATGGTCACATAAACTCTGAAGAAACTCTTTGGACCTCCAGAGCCTTTCTGCTGTAGCATCACAAAGAAGCTGACATAAACAAGAGGATGTGTGAGCACAGAGGGAGGCAAATAGAGAAGAGACGATCTAGTGAGCTGAGACTGGCCTGAAGGTGGAGTTCCTTGAGCACAAGCGCTTCTCAGGCAACATCTCCAAGTGACCACTCCTTGCCTCCTGCACAGAACAGGTTTTCCCACCTACACACCAGCCTGTGGTCAGAATAGTACCAGCATTCAAGCAAACACCAAATAAATAAGAGGTAGTGGGGGAAGAAGGGACAAGAGCTTTCCCAAAGGGTAAGTGTGGTCTCCCAGTGCCAGCTCTAGATTTTTCAAACAGGCTTTTGTTCACACAGAACTTTCTAGGAAGCTTATCAGAACCACCAAAAGAATGTAAGGGTGAATAAACCACTGTTTTTCTAGATCTACTGCTTTAGATGCTGAACTTCAGAATCAAAAAGCAGTGAAAACGTCTCACATGAAAGCTTTCATGTGGAGACAATCAGCTTTGCAGGCTGCGTCCTCCTGGAAGGGACGGAGCCAGACTTAGCTGCAATGCCACAAACTGCCTGGTCTAACCGAGAGCCAACCCAGTTATCTGAGCCTCAGGAAAGCAGAAAGTGGTGTGTTAGACTCAAAGATTAAATTTGGCCTCATATTGCACAGGTTCAAAGGACGCAACCATTGAGGGGGAAGGAAGAAAATAAAGCTACTGAGGAACGCAAACTGGCCTCGGATTAGTACACACTGCTAGGTAAATGGAGGAGAGGTTTGGGGGTGGGTCACAGGGAAGGTTAAGAGGCATTTCAATGCCAGATCCAAACACCATTCTGCATTCAGTCAGCTGTCAAGAGGACTCCATCCCATTTCCACCACGTGAATTTGCCACTCAGACCCTGGGACAGGAAAGCTTTGAAACGTGCACTCACGCCTCCTATTCTGTGCCAATAATACGCAAGGTAACACTGACCCTCATCCTTAGCTGTGCTCATGATGAGTCTCATTGTAGTCCATGATACGTAGCTGTCCAACACTGTCCGGGGTTGGGGGAGATGGGTGCGGGCCATCTAGGTTCAGGGGAGTCTTGGCTTCCACACCCAAGTCTTTGCCCAGTTCTGTCTTTAGGGTTTCAGAAAGGCTACTGATGGTCAGGCCGTCCTCATCACACTGGCTCTCACTCTTATTACGAAACAACTCTCGGGCCTTCATACCCAGGAAGCTTTTTGAACTGGGAAGCGAGCCAACAGTTGTAGGGATGCTGCCAGAGGGCTCTCCCATGGCAGTTTCCCACCGACTGCTAAATGGTCCTGCCCTCTGGTTTGGGGGTTTCTCTGGGGTGGAAAGCTCGCTGCTGCTGCTGCTGCCTCCACCTCCTCTGCTTCCACTGCTGCCCCAGGTGCTGCCAGGCCTGGGGGCCTTGGTCTCACCGTTGTGGCCAGATGCCTCTTCATTGTGCCCCACCACGGAATCTGAGCAGCCATCATCACAACAGTCAAGCCTGTAAGAAATCCAGGGAGGAGAAAAAGAGTTGGTGATTGCAGCACCCACGTCTGGGAGACATGAATTACACTGGCACTTGCTCACACTGACACTGGCACTTGCTCACACTGACACTGGCACTTGCTCACACTGACACTGGCACTTGCTCACACTGACACTGCATTCCGAAAGCCCACTCTCTGCTGTACAACCGCATACTGAAGCAAGAGATCTCAGCAAGAGAAACTAAGTCACACCCAGGGACGCTGGGTGGCAATCTTAAATATGAACACTTCCTGTGGCCATGTCGAGGGAGTCAAGGCCAGGACAAAGAACATGGGAAGATCACTGGACACTCTGAAGTAAGGCAAGTCAGGGTGGCGCTCTGGGTGGAGGGAGCCGAGTGCTACAGCCCAGTCTCAGGAGCTGCAACTGTTTCCAACACCAGGTGACATGTCCTCCTTCTGTTAGTGGCAGCTTAATCCCAAGGCCACTAACAGAACTCTTTGTTCCTACCTTTCTTCTGCTGCTTCAGCTGCTTCTGTTTTCTCTTCTTCAAGTTTCTTCAGGAGGCCATCTTTCTCCAGCCTGCCATATAAATCTAAGATCTCCAATTCAAACACCTGGGTTATCCTTTTCTGAGCCTCATACCTGCTCTCTGCGGCCTGCAGCTGTCCTCTGAAAGATACAGACCAGCCCAGAATATGGAAGTGCCACTCAATAAAAACACATCACTGCAAAAACCTTTCCTGATGAAAGTTACCTTGCCTGGAGTTTGACATCCTCTAAATATTTCTTCTGTTCCAAAAGAAGGTGGTCTTTCTTGGCCAGATGAGATTCCAGTTCTAAGATCCGTTTCTGGGAGGTATCAAGCCTCTGATTCTGCTGGAGAACATGGCTTCTGTTTTTTTCTAATTCTTTCCGATATGCAGCCTTCATCATTTCTACTTCCTGAAAAGGAGACTGGAATCAGTACTTACAAAAATGAACATACTGTATCCATTTTGAAAAAAACAATGTAATAAGCTTTGAGAAGGTGCTTTGGTACACTGACAATAAAAATATAAACTAAAATAACTTTCTGAAAAATAAGCTGGCAGTTAAGTATTATCCTAGAAATCCTTCCTTGAAATCTATTCCTAAGGAAATCACTTAAAATGTGAATACACATTTTGCACACAAAAAAAGTCGTTACAGAATATTTATAAGAGCAAATAACTGGAAACACAATTAAGTTTTCAGGGAAACAGGTAAATTAAAATATACCTTATATCTGTAAGTTTTAAAAAATGATACGGTATCAATAAAAAGATAAAGACTACAAACTGTGTGAACAGTATGATCAACTATGCAAATATATACATTTGCAAAATACCAATGCAATGAAACTATGCCAATATTCAATATAGTGGTATCATGGGTCATTTGCTTTCTCTTATATTTTTCTCTCTCCTAACACCAGCTGCAGTACAGCTAGAGCATGCGACACAAACGGGCAGGCTTGCTCAGGGAGAGCAGCCTTTGCAGGTTAGGTACCTGAGAAGGCTTGCTGATCAGCCGAACAGGCAGCCTGCCTGCAGACAGATGGGACAGCTGGAAACCCAGCGCAAGTGCACACTAATGCTCAGAAAAAAGGCAAACAAGGATACTTTTCTAACAATCCCGTGTTACATTTGTGTAGGTGTGTTTATTGTGGTAAAATGTATATAACATAACATTTGGCACACATTTGTTTTTTAAAAAAGATAGCAAACCCCAAGAAGCGAGGAGGAGGTAAGCTTTCACGAGGTCGGGCCTGCCTGAAGCTAACTGGTAGCCCAATGCTTCCTCAGGGCAGGTGCTCAGAATCGGCTAGCAGATAATGTGGCTGTCCCAGCTGTGCTAAATGGCACCAGACTGCAGCACAGGTTAGGTGGACACAGATGACTTTGTCTGAAACAACAGTTCTTACCCATGGCTGACCACACAAGGTATCAAACCAGGAATGTACACGCCCTCTCACTAATCCTCACAACCACCTCAGGGGCTGCTTTGCCCAACCCCTGCCAGCCGTCCCCCACCTGATTCTGAGACACCCACCCCTCCTCCTCCACTAGACAGAACAAGAGCAACCCTAGCTCCAGGTCCAGGCGAAATCCTGACTGGTTCAAGCCAATGACTGGGCTGCCAATGGGCACATGACACAATCCTGGATGACAAAAGAGACAGGACATGTGTGGAGGGTCTCTGGGAAAGGTTTTCTGGCTGAGAAAGGCACACGGGAAGAGAGGGTCTCCTCTTCTGTGGGGCATCACTGTGTCTGCCTGTGATACCTGCACCTGTGGCACACACCTGGCAGCCATGAGGTCGGCCAGCCAGAGGACAGGGCCAACAGGATAAAATAAGGTGGCACAGAAGAGTGGAATGAGCCTGGCCCTGTGATGCTGTCCCTGAATTGCCAACTTGACCAACCTGCAACTCATTTGCCTTGGGATTTCTTGTTAAATGAAACAATAAAATTCTTCATTGTTAAGCGAGGCTAGTTTGGCTTTGGTTTTGGGATTTTTCTTAGAGACAGTCTCGCTATGTTGCCCAGACTGGATGGAACTCCTGGCCTCAAGCAATCTGTCTCTTAGGTCTACCCCCAGCCCTTCCTTTTCCCAAAGCCATTATACCTCAAAATAAGTGATAGCTGGTTTCTAGAGGAAGTTCCACACATAACATCCTTCTGCAGGGAGTCTGAATCTGAGATCTGAGAGGAGCTGGGAATAAAGAGTAACTCTATTGTGGAAATTATATCCCTCTACTTCTAAGGCTACTCTACATTCGGCCAAAAAAGGCACTTTATAAAGCGCAAGCACAAGAAGTCCTAAAAAGAAGGCCTGTGTGTGATGGAGAAGTTAGTGACAGGAAGCATCTGAGCATTTACTATTAAAATTCTATTCCCAACTCATTCCCTAACATTACCTGAGGCTATTTATAAAGTGACATAAAACTTCTGCCTTGACGCCACTGGTGAGGCACTAATTAACGTAAGATCATCCCAATGCTGGCCTTGTTGCCAGGACTGAACTACCATCTGCAGAAATTCAACATTAAGAGGAAGAAAAAAATGACATGTACACCAATATATACCCACAGTCCTGAGAGGTATGTTAAACAGAACTGCTTCCCCATCCTTCTTCTCTAACTCTTTTAAAGAGGACACAGGGAAGAGAAAAGAAACACTTTTATATCTACTCTGTAACAATTATCATTAGGTGCTTTCTCTTACACCCAACAAGGGGAAACAAGCTCACATGGTGGCTGGAAAGGGCTTGTATTGCTGGGCCAGAAGAGGTGAGAGTAGACCTGAGCCATTGCTCCATCTTTTAAGAAACAAGTCACAAAGCCACTCAAATGATGCGCCGTAGACATACTGCCTGGATCCAAAGAGCTTCCCCCCTAAGGTCTGGCTCCCCAAGCCCCGCATACCTTTGTTGTGTCTGAATGCTTGTTCTGCAGTTGTTCCAAATACAGCTCGTTGACCTCTCCAAGAACCAAAAGCTGCCTGTTCAAGAATTCCATCTGCTGCTGGACTGACTCACTATTTGAGAGCTAACCAAAAAACATACAGAAGCAGAGTAAAAACTCTAATACTAGCACATGGACATTAAACAGGGAGTCAGCTAAGAGCATAATATTTCAATGCAAAGGCAGAGTAAACAACTCCCACAGTTTTAAATCCCCTTACATAATGGCAGGTGGGGAGGACGGCACCCAGTGGCTATAAAAACAGACAGAAATGCACTTTAAAACTGTGCCTTGCAAAGGGGAAGAAGCACAAATACACTACATCAAAAGTGACCTCCATAGGATACCTGGAGAAGACGGATATGTATTATGACAACCAAAGCAAGAACGTTAGGTCCAGTGGGATAAAGTCCTAGGGAAAACCCACCCATTCTCAAGTAAATGATGTATAGGGAGTGCAGTGAATCCCAAAGGAGGACTCACAGCTCAAAAACTCGAAAAACTTTTTACATTTATATAAACAAGGTATGAAGAAAGAGTTCCATGGGATATATTAACACACAGCCTATGGCTTAGGCTGGATATGTCTTTGCCGTGGGGGGCGTTGTCTACGCACTGCAGGACATTTGGCAGCACCCCTAGCCCCTGCCCACTAGATGACAGTAGCACCAAAAACACCAGTCTAGAATGTCTCTAGACATTGCCAAGTGTCCTGGGGGTGCAGGCAGGATTACTCCCTGTTGGGAACCCCTGACACAGGTACACTCAAGTAATGTATTTGTCCTATCTGAAGGAAGAACATCAGCAAATGGTGTCTGAACAGAGACAGGTCTGCCTCATTTCTTACCTTCTGAGATACCTGACTGAGCTGCAGCTCTGTGTGACACACCTTGTTGTTGGCCTTCTTCAATTCTATCCGCAGCTCCGCAATCATGTTCCTGCAGTCCTCCAGCTTTGTCTACCCAAAGAGATGTGGACGTGAAGTCACAGCAGCACCGACAGGCCAGACCATGAGCCTACTGGCCTTTGGTCCACAGAGACCTGACAATGCCTAGTTCTCAACTGCTCTACTATTCTTGGGCCATCAGGATTGACTTTTTAGTTTTAAAAAGTAAGTTATGGTTGATTTATGAGTTCCTTACTGTTTAACAAAAGACCTTAGATCAGGGCTCCTCAAACTTTTTAAACAGGGGGCCAGTTCACTGTCCCTCAGATCGTTGGAGGGCCATTAGAGACTGCGGCGCACATTCCACACATGCACACTGTGGGCCCAGGACGAGTTGCCTGCTAAGCAGGACAGGCAGCAGCAGCAAAAACACCCAGTGGGCCAGATAAATGTCCTCGGCGGGCCGTAGTTTGAGGACACCTGCCTTAGATGCTCAGCTCCCAAACTGTGCACCAAAGAGCCTTGGGATTATGTAGCAAATTCACAGGGATGCAGCGAGATATTTTAAATTTTTGAGGAAAACAGCGACACCTGTTGGACACCCTGTGAACTACTAACTCACTGGAGTTGCCCGTTCAGTATTAGCTGGTATGTGTTCCCGAGGATGACGTCGTTATCTTTCTGAAGCAGTGATAAAAGGCACCACAAGAAAACCAACACGGGCTGGACGTGGTGGCTCATGCCTGTAATCCTAGTTCTCTGGGAGGCTGAGGCAGGTGGATTGCTCAAGGTCAGGAGTTTGAAACCAGCCTGAGCAAGAGCAAGACCCCGTCTCTACTATAAATAGAAAGAAATTAATTGGACAACTAATATATATAGAAAAAATTAGCCGGGCATGGTGTCTCATGTCTGTAGTCCCAGCTACTCGGGAGGCTGAGGCAGGAGGATCGCTTGAGCCCAGGAGTTTGAGGTTGCTGTGAGCTTGGCTGACGCTACGGCACACACTCTAGCCTGGGCAACAAAGTGAGACTCTGTCTCAAAAAAAAAAAAGAAAAAAGAAAACCAACACAAAATCAAGGTGTCACTGTCCACTCTGATTTCAAGGCCTGAGACTCTGTGCCATGTCCAACAGGAACACATGTGGCATTAGTAATTGCAGTTATTTTAAAATAAAATTTTAAATTTATGTGTATTATTTCCAAACAGCTACTAAGTTGTTAGGACATGAATATCCACTAAGTTATTTAGATATACTTAATGACTAGAAAGATTGGAGCTATGAACCAAGAAAGTTGGGGAACCCCTGCCCTAAATAAGATTTTATTTATTTATTTTATTTATTTTGAGACAGAGTCTCACTTTGTTGTCCAGGCTAAAGCCTAGCCCACAGCAACGCCAAACTCCTGGGCTCAAGCAATCCTGCTGCCTCAGCCTCCTGAGTAGCTGGGACTACAGACATGAGCTACCATGCCCGGCTAATTTTTTCTATATATATTAGTTGGCCAATTAATTTCTTTCTATTTATAGTAGAGATGGGGTCTCGCTCTTGCTCAGGCTGGTTTCGAACTCCTGACCTTGAGCAATCTGCCTGCCTCGGCCTCCCAGAGTGCTAGGATTACAGGCGTGAGCTACCGCGCCCAGCCAGTAAGATTTATCTGAAATAAAATATACCCATGATTTCAGGGAGAAAAGTACTCACCTTAATTAAGCTGAACACAGTGACCACACTGAAGGAAACACTTCCACCCTCCTCCCCACAGCTTCCCTGTCTTCTCTTGGTTGACCCTGCCTGGAGGTGCAGTTCATACCTGCAATTCCTGGCTCTGGTTGTAGAATTCTTCTCGGTCATGCTGCAGCTGTCGGATCTGGCTGTGGAGCTGTGTTACCACAGTGTCACGCTGCTCCTGAAGCTGACTGTATCTCGCTTGTTCTTTCTGCAGACTAACCTTCCACATCTGGATGTCTTTCTCTTGTAACTTCAACTGATCTTTCTAACAGAGATCAGAAATGCCATCATTTTAGCTGCCTTCCAACAGGAAGGGAAGTGATGCTTACGTTTAACACAGATTGCAAACATTTCTTCATCTAAACCGTCATAAACTACAGACCCAAATATGACAGCTCACCACTGTCTTACTTGGTTTGAGGTCAAGATATTCCAAATTTCACATCAACAAATGGATCATAAGTTGTTCAAAGAACCTTTCTTGGGGATCAACTTGCTTCTAATATTTTCGAAAGTCCTAACCACCAAACACTAAGCAGATGCTTACTGACCTGATTTCTTTTAACCATTACAACTTAAAAATTAGGCACTGCTATTATTATTTCCATTTTATACAATGGGAAACAGGCTTCAAGAGGCCAAATTACTTTTCTAAGGTAACGACCAATTAAGCCAAGATTCAAACTCCAGGTCCGATTGCTATACCAGACACGCTGAAGTTTCATGTGGAGAAATAATCGTTTGACCCTTTTATCATCATAGCTAGTTATAAGCAAACAAACATACAAAAAAGTCACTCGTCCCCATGGTTTCTGAGAGCTCCAAGGGAATTCCAAGATCTTGCCATTCGTATCTTCATCTCAGAGACTCAGTGGCCTACCCCCAGCCATACCCATGTACAGAGCTGGGACCGGGAACTGACCTCACTGGCTGCTACTCTTTACAAGCTGTCATGCTGACCCAAACAAAACAAAACTGAAGTCCCCCTCTCCCGAGTGCTCACCATAGCAGCATTATGTTCCTCCAGAGCTGCTGCCTTGATCACCTTGCGGAGGAGCCGCCTGTTCCGAAGAGCATGCTGCTGCCTCTTAAAACGCTCATACAGTAACTGGTTGTGCAGTAAAAGCAACTGGTCTCGGAGGGTACGGATCTCATCTGAGGGGGGAGAGCCTGATTTTAAAGCAGAGGGAGGGTAGCGGAAATGCCTTTTATATATCGTTCAATCAAGCTCCCCATCCACATGTGTTCTTCAGCTTAAGAAACACAATTTTTTAAAAAACAATTTTTTAAAAAACACAACTCACTTTGCAAATGACCACTTAGTTTCCAGCAACAGTCATTCCTTCGGGGCTAAGGTGGAGGGAATATTTACTACCTGTCTCCCTTTTAAAGGAATGCAAAGGGTTTTATCACGTGGGATGACTCTCTGAGAGCTTTATTTTTTCCCCCACAAACCTGGATCATACATTTCAGACACCCTTTCTATTTCCCAAGGCCCTTCCCTCACAGGAGTGTTCTCCCCCAAGAAGACTCCCCAGTACTACTCCCTTCACTTGGGCCTTCCTAAGGGCAGCCTGGCGTGGAGTCTGTGCTTTTTACATGTCTCCTCTCAAGCACCCAGTACTTGCCACTTTTCAAAAATTAGAAACGCTGACTTTGTAACACTTGAGATCCGTCAGCCAACAAGATAAGCCGGCTGGCGCAGCAGCCAAGGGGAGATCTGTTTCCTACAGGGCATCTCCTTCAAGGGCAGAAAAGGCAACGAGCAAGCAGAAACCACACAGGCTGGATTTGGAGCTAAAGTAACAACTTTACCTCCAAAGTGGGTCCAGTCGACAGACTTGCTGGGTAAAGACAACCTAGGAAGAAAGTTTTTGAGTGATAAAGTTACCGATCTTACCTAGAAAAAAGCTTATCTGGACTTTTATTTGCAGCAAGGTTAGATCACTTCCTTGTGGTCAAAATCCGCAATGACATAAAAGTTTCAAACTCTACATCCACACGGAGTTAGAGAAGCCCTCCAGCGGATGGAATGAGCAGGCGGCCGGCTGTGTAAAACCGTCTCCACAGTGGGGAAGGCCAGTGCTGAGCTCACGTGGGGGCCTCGGGCTCAGGTCAGCGCTCCAAAGCAACTGAGTGGGAAACACACTGACAGCTGCTCTCAACCCTCTGCTGAAACATGCAGGGAGTAGCTCCGTATTGAGAAGCTACTGTCACCAAGTTTAAGAAAAAAGTAGGTAATTTACCTCAGACTATACCAAATCTCATTTTTAAAAAACAAAGTTTAAATACTACAATTTCTGTCAAATTCCACCTTAACTATTATATAGAAGAAAAATAAAAACTAACATCCCCAAGCACCTGTTTTGAAACGGCAGAGGATTTAAACTCTGGACTAGTTCCCTTATCCCTTCCCTGGATATGCTTTGAAAAGGGTCACAAGAGGGGGACTGAAAACAGTGTCTCAGATTTCCTTCTAAGGAACCTCGTATGCTTCTGAGGGGAGCTGTCAGGCCACTTGCACTTGCATAAAATGCTGATGATTTTATCTTCTACCTAATGAAATAAGATACCAAAATAGAAAGTAATAATCTACAACCAGACAGGGAAACACTGTGACAAATAAATTCTTTGAAATACTATAATGTTATTTATAGCCTACAATGCTCAGAGCAACACTGAAAGCATGTGAGTGCCCTCATGGAACAGCCTATATTAAAAAAAGACTCATTTTCCCATAATATGCCGAAATAAAAAAAAAAAAAAAAAAGAAAAGACTCATTTTGAAATGGACCATTATCCTACAGAATTATCCCAATTTAATGTGCATATGTAGAGAATAGACGTGGTCACATATATGAAAAGGCAATAGACTAGAAGGACATCTGACATCTGACACAACAGATGCCTCTGGATGAAAACATGAAGAACCATTCTTATTCCCACCCTTATGCTTTCTGTATTTTATAATAAAATGGGACATTCAAACACAAAGAGAAGGGTTCAAGCCCCTTACTTGTTAAGCTCCTTGCTGTGTGCGTCTGCTCCCTGCTGTATCAGTCTATCCAGTACTTCCATGGGGGAGGTAGAGGGCAGAAAGTCTTCCTCTGTGCTTCCTTTTGCTTTCTTTAACAGTTCCTCAGTCTTCTTGCTGACAAAGTGATAGGCAGTCTTTGGCAATGCCACCTCAAAAAGATGATCATAAGGGGGAGGCTGCCCACTTCCAAAGCCCATTCCCCTTTGAGGCGGAATTTTACAAGGGCTGGGAGTGAGGATACTGGTCTCCAAAGAAGTCTGGCGTGCCCTGTCTCCAGCAGGGCTTTCGTCAGCACTGCCACAAGGTAGATCTATGGGGGTGAAGGCTTGCTTTGGTGTGTCAGGCCCAAGCTTGTCCAGGGAGGAGTGTAAAGGCTCAGGGTTCATGCTGGCGCCCTGAGCACTGGAGGCTGCCGAATGGGTCTTCCGCTGAGAACCCGGGAGACTGTCTCGGTAGAAGGGAGAGTCAAAGCCTCCTCGAGGAACCACATGTTCAGCCTCTGCTGTAGTGATCTCAGAGAGTTCTTTAGATATTGCAGCTTCGAGGAGGAAGGGAAACAAGAGAAAGCCCAGTAAATATCCAATCTGGGAAAGGCCAGGTAGTTTGGGTTGCATGCTGCCGTGTGCCAATGCCACCCAGAGGGGGGATAAAAAGTGGCATCTCTTTACCTGACATAGGTCCTATGCTAAAACACCCATCTTTTTCCCCCAAGAAAAGAAAAGGCAAGTAAGCCTGTGAGCAGTGACAGGAAATCCCAGTTGTATGGCAAAAGGAGGGTCACGTTCCACCTCACAGCAACCCTGCATGCATTACCTTCTTCTTTATCTTTCTCAATGCTATCTTCTTCAGAGGCCAGGTCACCTAGAAACCCGGGAAGGTCACTTAGAGTGACAGAACCTTTGCTGCCGAGTGGCTCTTCTAAAGAGAAACAAAGACAGCTGAAGTCACAGAAATACAATGTAATGCCTATACGTGTAAAACTGCTCACATGGTAACAGAGAATGTCCCTAATAATTCTTCCTGCTGAACCGAGAAGGCTGGAACCCTTGGGCTACTACAAAAGGCTAAGATGTAATAAGTAATATATTAAAGGTGCCAAATATAATCCCATAGAAAATAAAATTCTCAGTTCTTAATGTTTCCAAGAACAAATAAAAACACACAGTTTGACCAGCTCAAAATACTTACAGGTACATCACTGCAGTAACTTAAAAGCACTTTTTTCATGTTATTATTTGGTTGGCTTTTAGAATTCACTATTTGTTTCATTATCTCTGGGCTTTAGTGTTTTATGGTATTCCAGAATTTCCTTGTTTCCATTTAACTTTGTTTTTAAATGCACACAACCCAATTAGAAGAGACAAGCAAGGCCTATCATGACCCAAAGATTTTACCTAATCCTCTGTCATTTGGAAGATGGTGCTGTCTGTGTAGACATGGCCTTGCAGAATCTGTTCTCTCTTCCTGAAAAGATAAGTACCATTTATATCACAAGGCAAAAAATTGTATACATGTTCTCTAGCACATTGTAAAGAAGTTCAAGGTTAGCCCACTGATTCTCAACTGGTCTCAGGATGCCTTCTTAAATGATTGAGAATACCAAAAGCTTTTGTTTACATAGTTATATCTACTGATTACTGTATTAGAAGTTAAAACTAGGAGATTTAAAAAGCATTTATTAATTCTGTTAAAAGTAACAAGTCCATTACATGTCAATATAAATAACATATTTTTATGAAAAATATCTATATTTTCCAAAACAAAAATAAGCTTACTGAAAAGAGTGGAACTGTTTCACACTTTTGCAATCTCTTTAATACCTAGCTTAATGAAAGACAGCTGAATTCTCATATTTACTTCTATATTCAATCTGTTGCACATGTTATTTTCACTGAAGTATATAAGGAAAATCTGGGGGCCCATAAATATGTAGTTGTAAAAAGTAAATATATGTGAACAGACTTTTCAAATAATTGTGGATAATCATCTTTGATATTACACCAAAACTTGACTAGAGGTAGTTTCTTAAAAGTTATTTACAAGTGGAATCTGAAACCATATAAATAAACTTTTCATATTGTGTTAAAATCCACTGGCCTACCTTATACTTTGAATACACTTTTTACCTATGTACAATTCTATAACATCATACATTGGACATTTGGAAAATACTGCTTCACCAAGTTATTTAGATCTGGCAAATGTTGAAATACTTCATTATATAATATCAAAAATCAAATTATTAACCAAGCTTCCCAATCTCATCATAAAAGTCTTGGAGGAGCTATCAAGTTCACGGTAGCAGATATTAGTTTTTTAATATGCTAATTCTCACCTGAAAGTTGATTTTTACCATTGGCAACAAACACTGTCAATTGTTTATCTTGAGTGACAGACTTGGTTCATTATTTAAGAAACTGCCTGCCAAGTATACAAGTCTGAACAATCAGTTTGTAAGTCATTCCCTTGTTCTTTCAAATAAAACTAGTGCCCCATTGAAAAAAAAGCTAGTTCAGTTCTTAATTCAAATAATTACATAAGGACCTGAGATTACCATAATTTAGTATGCAGTAAATGTGCTTTATGCATATCTCCTATTAATATTTTGTCACCAAGAATATTAAATATACATGTTCTCAAGGGCCAAGATTTAATAAAATAATTTTTACTGCCTAATAAAGGAATACTCATAAATTTTTAATTTTTTTTCTTTCTTAAAACTGAAAGAACATGTCAAGGAAGAATGCAATGCCCACTAGTATAGCTCAGTGCCTGCCTTGATTCAAGCTAAGGTGCCACCATTTCATATGCCACCGTCTTTGTACGATCAGTGCAGACGCCAAGAGTGGGAAAGCAAACAGCTTCATGTGACTATGAGAACAGGTCTCATCTACTGGATTCTCTAAAAGGGTTTTTGGACCCCAGGGGTCAGCAGATCACACCTTAAAAGCTGCTGTTTAGTCTATTTTCAATTATTTTGAAATAAATCTATCACGTTTTAGGTTGGAATTCTATCTATTTAGCTCAATTAGGCTTCCCAAAATGAGGCTTGAAGCAAGACACTGTGCTGGGCTGGGGGCAGCAGACAGCTCGCACTCACTTTCCTGGGGGGTGTGGCTGTGGCCTGAGGGAGTGAAATGTGCACGTAGTCATCGGTGTGGCAGAGGGGGGCCGGAGGAGGAGAGGTTGCTGGGGTTCCCAGAGGAGTTCCTTTTCCACCTGCTCAGAGACAAAGGCACAATATATATGAACATTGACCCCAACTATTACAAAAATTCCCAATTTTTTTTCAGCCTAACTTACTACATATAAAGCTGCTAGAGTTCATTTTCTCGGAATCTATAGAAGTCTTTTTTTTTTTTTAAGGCTTATTTCATACATTCAGAAAGCCCCGGAGGTTTGCAATAGGTGTCAAAAACAGATTGACAACTACAAGTAGTCCCCAAACTCACTATTAGATCTAAGAGACAGCTCCTATCATCAAAGGCAGCTCCAAACCAACCAATCAAATACAACCTAAGACATACATACCAGTTGTACCAAAGACTTTACTGTAAGGGTGTGACAAATCAGGTGGGACATTTCCAGGAGAAGTTGGAGGAGTGGTCATACCACAAACCATAGATGGGCTCCAAAGAATAGCCTGGGAAGTTAATAAAGTACATCAGCAATGGCAAATGAATACTAAGTCATCCACAAGGTTCATACGCATAGTCAGTGTTCAGTTTAAATTCAGCATTTTAACTTGAAAAATGCATCTTATTAAAGCTTTATCAAAAGACAAGTTGCAGTTTGTAAATCAAGACTTTAAGATGCACCCAAGGAACTTTCTTTGCTACTATCATGGATTCTTAAAAGTGACTCCTAAAAAGAGCAGTGTGAAATTTTTCCAACAATGTACTTGACCCAAATGGTCAGCTTCACAAGAAAGTAAAGGAGAGAGCAGGCACACTATTTGACACTATACTTGTGGCGGCTCAGTTATCAGCCGTGTTGACGGGGAACTCAGAGTCTGAGGTAGCTGCCCTGGCGTATTTAACAACGTCAGCCGAGAAGTGGAGGAAGGGGTAGAAGTAGCACTCCCTAAAATAAAAGGGAAGAAACAAGGGGGTTAGTGTGTGGTTTTAGACTCTTCTGATAAAAAATGATGGTCCTCTAGATCATTCAATAATATTCAATTCTCTATATTTAAAAAACCTGAGGGACTTCCTGACATCCCTAGGTACAAACTAACATCATTTAAAAGTTTCTTTAAATGCTCTTTGGACATAAAGTTCAATCAGGTTTGATGTCTAGCTAAACCCCAGAATAACTTGAAAAAGCACAATACGGATGACAGCTTCAGTGGGTGCAACTTATGGATATAGCCTAGATTTTTATATGAATCCAATTCTAAATTGTCCAGACTAATTTAAACTGTGTCAGTGCTACAGCCCAGTAGGCCTCACTCCAAGTGTCTGAAGAATAGAAAGATTCCCTTATGAGGCAGGGCCTAGACATCAAATACTTAAACCCATTTTCTTTGTTAAGTGTTGAAGACATATCACCAAATCTGTTGGCATACTATCAGGTAGGAGATCAAGTAGATCTAAGTTAAACTTAGAAGAAAAATTAATTAGAAGAAAATAGAGACAAATGCAAATTTAAAATATTAGGGGGAAAGTTCCTAGGAACTGAACTAAGTCTTACTCTAAGAAAACATCAACAAAGATAAACAATGCTTTCCACAGACAAAATTGTAAAACAGATAAGTACCAAAGTCACTTTTTACCATAGCTATTCTGTGTGTCAACATAAGGGCTGGCGGTGACATCAGCTGAACGATGAGGAAAGCGGGCTGAGATTTGGTGAGACACAGAATAGCCATCTTCATACGAGGCTTCTGTAGGGTCCAGAGAGATTTTGGCACACTCTATTACAACGTCATGAGTTTCTAATCTCTTCCACCTGTAAAAGGCAATCAAAGTCAAGAAATGCACATTGTAATCCACTCAATCAATTCAATTAAATACTTGAGAGTGCCAACTCAGTGCCAGCTACGGAACTACAACAGCAAAAAACAAGGCAGAACCACAGCAGCCCAAGTATGAAACAGCAATAGTATACGATTTCTTCAAATCCATACTCTCCCTATTTAAAATGGTTATATCACATTAACAGAAACTAATTTGAAACAAAAATTACATCAAGAAAAGACTAGGCATAGCCTAAAAATAGAACACAAACTATGCAGGGAAGCCACCAGAGGAAAATCTCCTCTGGGGCAATGGTAACCAGAGATCAAGGAGGCCTGGAAACCACCAATCAGCTGAGACTTATGGCCAATTTACAGTGTTCTGTCAAGATACGAATCCGCCCCTAGTGCAGAAATACAGTACAGAAAGATAAACTAGAAAAGATATTTTAAAAATTGTCTGAAGATTCTTGTTATGCAATCCACAGTTCCACTTCTAAGAATCTATATATCCTATAGAAACAGACATACATCAAGATGTACAAAAATGTTCAGCACAATACAGCTTGTAATGAAAAGAGAAGAAATAACCCAAAATCAAACCAAAAGGATATATTCTACAGAAAAAATAGTATTATACCACCATGAAAAAGCATGTGTTCAGCAGGTCAATGGTTGCCAGGAATGGAGGAGGAGACTGACCACAAAGGCTATGATAGAACCTTTTAGGACAACAGAATTGTTCTTTATATGACAAAGGGAGGCCGACATGGGAGGATTGCTTAAGATCAGGAGTTTGAGACCAGCCTGAGCAACAAAAAGAGACCCCCTACAAAAAAACAGAAAAATTAGCCAGGTGAGGTGGCACATGCCTATAGTCCCAGCTATTCAGGAGGCTGAGGCAGGAGGATCACTTGAGCCCAGGAATTGGAGGTTGTAGTAAGCTATGACTCCAGGAGACAGAGCAAGGCTTTATCTCAAAAAACAAAACAAAAAAAACCCAAATTAACAGAACATTTAAAATATGAATGCCTACTCAAGTATAAACTTTCTTTTAGATAATATAACTTCACTAAATGTGTTTCTAACTGGTGAATTCCAGGAGAGATTTTCATTTTCTGTTCCAAAGTTTACAAAGAACAGCACAGCAACACTAAGGATACTCCATGGGTTTATCCTAACAAGATGTATGCTCCCACACAATTGCTGGCAAGTGCTCATTACAACTTAGATGCTGAAAATGTGCTATTAGACACAGAAATGAAGGTGTCCAAGGTGTGGGGAGAACACAAGGTACCTTCCCTTGGGCAAGCCTTTCCATTTCAGGGTTGCATCTTCACTCACTCCCCAGTTGGTTACTGGCAGTACAAGGTTACCGGGGGCAGACCCCTCTTTACACACTCTCAGCGTGACTGGACAGTGACTCAATGAAAGCCAGAGTCGAAATACTTATGTACACATAGGAAGATTGGTTTTACGGCTAGGCACGATGGCTCACGCCTGTAATCCCAGCACTCTGGGAGGCCAAGGCAGGAGGATCATTCGAACTCAGGAGTTCAAGACCAGCCTGAGGAAGAGCGAGACCCTGTCTCTACCAAAAATGGAAAGAAAGTGGCCAAACAACTAAAAATAGGAAAAATTAGCCAGGCATGGTGGTACATGCCTATAGTCCCAGCTACTGGGGAGGCTGAGGCAGAAGGACAGTTGAGCCCAGTTTGAGGTTGCTGTGAGCTAGGCTGATGCCACGGCACTCTAACTGGGACAACAGAGTGAGACTTTGTCTCAAAAAAAAAAAAAAAAAAAAAAGATTGGTTTTAGAAAAGAAAATGAGAATCATAATAAAGTAGAAATACAGTTAAATGTTTTATTTTAATCAAAGTAATATATGCACCGCGCCCGGCCAAAATTTCCTTGATTCTTAAATGGACTTTTCATATTATTATCTCTGAAACTGTGAACTACAGTTAGTTGTGTGTTAGTTTATTTGGTATTTTTTCTCAGATGTACATAAAATATAAATACATCCAATGGCATCTTAGATTTAATGAAATACAGTAGTTTAAAAAGTCAATATAATACTAAAGGACACCTCCCACCTCTCTCCCCTGCCACCATGCTGGTAGTTGTTTCCAAAACTGTTGTCCTACCTCCATATTCCTAAAGAATATGCCCTATAATTTGAATATGCCCTTTTAATTTAAAGAATATGCCCTTTTAATTTCTTGATTTATAAACTGTAGACATCATCTATTAAATTCCGATTATGGGAGGTGAAGACTGAGGTTATTTCCATATATCCTTTCCCTGCTCCCCAGTGCTCTCAAAATAAATATATTACTGTTTTTGTTTTTTTCAAAATTGATTTCAACAATTATTATGACTACCTACGTACTATTCATGGCTGAGGCAAAGCATATACTATGATAATACTGCCTTTCTTGTTCAATTTAGTTTGTCCTGGAGTTTTATTTTTCTGTTTTCCTCAGTTTTCTATGTATCATTAATTCTTCCTAAACTTATTTTAACAGCTCTGAAACTATGCCTAATATAATTTCTACATAAAGAAATACAAAGAATCTAGCAGGATCACTCCCCCGTCTCCCTAAAGAACTCTGTCCTGGAGCCCTCCCTCTCCTCCTTCAGTCTGCACTGGCTGTGCTTAGCACTGCTGTGCAGCTGTGATCCCAACATGGTCCCTGACTATGATCCCAAGCCAGGGCCCTAGGTTCCTGGACTCTGTGTTCTCCTCCTCCTCGATTTCACTCTCATTTTGGTAGAACACATGCTCCAGTGGTGAGAGAAGGAAGGGCATACAGGAGGTAAATCTGAGTCCTTGCATATCTGTAAGTGTCTCACACTTGACAAGCAATTTGGCTGGGTATAGAATTCTAAGTTGAAAAAACTTTTTTCTCTTAATTTTGAAGATATTTCAAAAGCTAACATCATTCTGATTCCTGATCCTTATTAAGTGTTTTGGGTTCTTTCTTTCTCTGAAAAATTTATCCCTGGCATTTTGAAATTTTACAATATTGAGATTTGGTGGCATTCTTTTTCACTGATCCAGCTGGCACTAAGTAAGCCCCTTCAATTTGGAAACTCATGTCCTGCAATTCTAGGACATTTTTTGGTTATTATTTCTTTTACAACTTTATCTTACACTAAAGTTTTCTCCTATCCCCTCCTCCACTTAATTTTTGAGACAGGGTCTCACGATGTTGCCCAGGCTGGCCTCAAATGATCCTCCTACCTCAGCCTCCCAAGTAGCTGGGACAATAGCTGTACACCACAGTGCCCAGCTCCTCCTCCCTTTTCAAAAGTCTTTTTGGTGGATGATGGACTTCTAGGCTGATCATTCTAAATTTCTTTTCTCATATTACCCATCTCTACACTTTGGCTCTGCTTTCTGAGTTATTCTCAACTTTAACTTCCAATTCTTTTACGGAAATGTTTATTTTGGCAATCATTTCTTTAGTCTTGAAAGATTCCTTTTCTGTGGCATCCTGAACTTTATATATACACAAATGCCTTATCTTTGTGGCTATTGTAGACATTTTTTTCCTATCATCATTGTTTCTTTATAGCTCCTTTTTCTCCTCTTTATGTTAGTCTTTGTCTTTCATGTTAAAACTTTCATCAAAAGCCAGATAATCTCCCTAGCCAAGGTGAGTGTGGCACTAGAGGCTGACTGAGGCAGCTTCCAAGTTAATACAGTTGGTTGAACATATGCACCCAATTGTACAATCTCCCGAAACCCCACCGTCTGAAGTTTTGTTTGACTGCTTGTTTTTAAATATAAACACACATGGAGGAGAGGAATGGGGAGAAAACTGCACCTCAAGTTTTTGAAACTAGAAATAGACAGGCAAGTGGTAGCTGACATAGCAAACCCAAGAAAGCAGAATCCCAAGCTGCCACTGTTTCAAAGCGAGGAGTCAACCTGATTATACTGCAGAACCCCTATAAAGCTGAAGGCCCAGAGAAGCAGCAGGTGGATGAGGCAGCTAAAACACAGAAGACAGGTGAAAATGGGTAGAGGAGCAGGGAGAGCCCCTGGATCCTTCCCCAACTCCACGCTCCTAGGCAACAGCTCTTTTCACACCAGAAATCTGGATTATCCTCTAGAGAGAGTAAAACAAGGAGTTTCTGGACGAGGTATTCCAGAAACAGTTGAGAGCATGAGTACCATTCCAAACAAAGGGATTAAGTGAATGTATATATTCTGAATGCCAAGACCAACAATCCACCCCTCACCACCAGCCTCTTTCTCCCCAGTGGCAACTAGATCCTTGAGCCTGAAGATCAGATGACTCTTTTCTAAAAAATTTAACCAGTTCAAGAAGAAAACAAAACTGACATCTCCAACAGACGCTCAGATCAACATACAAAGAAGCTCAAAGTGAACAAGTCACACCAATGTGAACAGAGCTCTTTAGTCTCCCCATGCAAACATAAGGAGATTACTGGATCTTTGCAGAAAGCTTCAAGGATTTAAAAAAAAACAAAACAGAAAAGAAAGCAGCTTAGAAGAAACAGGTTATGCAGGGAAAAGAAAACTCTCTCAATACATAAATATATATATTAATACACACACACACACAATCCTGTGTTGCTTAATGACAGTGACACATTCCAAGAAATACATCATTGGGCAATTTCATCATTGTGTGAATATCACAGAAGTGTCCTTACACAAACCTAAATGGTATAGCCTCCTACACACCTAGGCTATGTGGTATAGCCTATTGCTCCCAAGCTACAAACCTGTACTGCATATTACTGTATCAATACTGCAGGCAACTATAATGTAATGGCAAGTACTTATATATCTAGAAAAGGTACATGGTATTATGGTAAAAATAGGGTATTATAATCTTATGTGACCACCATGGTATACGTGGTCCATCACTGACTGAGATGTAGTTATGGGGCACATGACTGCACTAGGATTTCTAGCAGGAAAGACAGACACAATGGGAAAGAAAATCAAGCACAAAATAACTAAACAAAATTTCCTAGAACTTAAAGAGCTTCTAGATTGAACAAGAACAGACTCATTCTAAGGCACATCACTAGGAAATTTCAGAATATTATGACAACAAAAAGAACACTTTACCAGCTCCCATAGAGCAAAATAAAGCAGATACAGATGATCAGAAATAAAATGTCTTTGGATTTTAACCGCAACACTGGAAGCAAGGTGGCCATGGAATAATGCCTTCACATTACTTAAATGAGCCCGACTCCCAACCTAGAAGTCTACACCCAGCCAAACAATTCAACAACTGCATCCTTTCTCAGAAAGCTACTAGAGGATATGTTCCATCAGAAAAAGAACAAACCGAAAAACAAGGCATGAGATACAGGAAATGGGAGATCCTGTGCAGGAGAGAGGCAGAAGGAAGCCGCAGGAAAACAAGATGACAGGTGGGGACTAGGCACAGATGACAACCAGTTCAGATCAGAACAGACCTGCCAAGAGACAGGCAAGGTGCAGGCCCTTATCAAAGCTCCTGCTGCTCTGTATGATCTTTTTAACCAAGGGACAGAGCCAGGTGACCCTGGCCTAGGTAACTTGTCTGAACTTGGCTTGTCTTGACTACATACAGCTGGAGTTCCTACTCTCCCTTCTCTGCCAGATCAGCCAAGGACATTTATTTTATCCCACAGAAGCATTCTGCTCTGACCTGCTCCTGAGAGCCTGAAGTGGCCAACACAGGACAGTCTCCTCCCTCTGCCATATTTCGGTAGCACATCCAGTACCCAGGCCTTGCTAAGAGTCCTGCCAGACACTCTGCTGCGGGTAAGCCATACATTTCCCAGGCCTCACTAATGACCTTGTGGATGACTTCCCAGAAGGAGCTGTAAAGTCTCAAGGAAGGAGAAACCTGACCAAGACCCAGACACACTGGTCCTCCTCTCATCTTCTGGAAACCTTCATGTGACAGCAACAGAACTGCCCTTTCCTCAGCCAGGCTTTGCTTCCCAACCAGCTTTTCCAAACAAAACATGGTAAAGCTATAAAGAGTGAGAGAACAATTAATATAAAAAAGCAAGAATGGTAATTGTCTCTGAGGTGGGACAGAGCATAGGGAGAAAGGGGGCTTTTGAGGAACTGGCAATGCTCTATTTTTTAAGCCAGGTACTAGCTACATATGTTGGTGTGTTATTATTAAATTGTACATATGCATTTTCTATACTTCTCTACATACATCTCATAACAAGCTGTTTTAAGTTGACTAAGGCTCTGTGTGGCAGAGGAAGGCTTTGTAGAGAGGTAAAATTCAGAGTAGAGGAAGCTGGCAATGAGCTAGATTTTTAAGTGGAAGATACTCAAATGTCAATATGTGCAGGTCAGTTTCCCCAAAAATGGCCCAATCCCCTAGCTGGGAAGTATAAGCCAGAGAAGAGTAGAGGGAAGTCATGGAGCCTCCCACAGCCGTGTCTTTAAATTCTCTTTCATTCCCTCCCTCCAGTCTCACCCTCAGCACCATGCTATATAAGCCACTCTCCACCGTCCTGGTACCCTTAAATGAGGAGCCTTGCAGGTGCAGTTTCTCCAGAGGACAAACCTGGGAACTTCTACAGGGCCCCATGGAAGACACCAGTCACCTGGCCATGCAGGATGGAGAAAGGGCCTCAGGGAGCCCAACCACTCTACACACGATGTTCTGCAATCCACTTGGCTTCAGCCACACACACTTCACCTCCTTCCTCACACATCACTGGCACCACCAAGGCACAAGCCTTTCTGATGCTCTGGGGACAGGCACTTGCACTGCAACTTCCTCCACTCTGCTGAATGAGCTATCAGTCCTCCAACTGTAAGGCATATGTTATAGACTCATACAAGGGACTTAGCTGTGTAAGTTCTTCCAAATGGAATGATTCTATAAGTAGAATATCTATATTGCCAAATGATACCTCAACAGAGACATTGCCTAGATCACATTTTCAATCTCGCAAGAGATTCTTTAGAATTCTGTCACTAGGTAGTTTAGTTTTCATACCTTCGAGGGTCCAGTTCATGGTCCTTGGATCCAGTCACTAATTCCGGATGAATTCGCACATGTTCCATCATTGGCTAGAAGAGTTTCGGTTGACAAATTATAAAGCGCTGAACATTTGTTGTATATTCAGATGGTGGAATATTATTTGACAATAAAAAGGAATGAAGTACTGATACATGTTACAACACGGAGGAACCTCGAAAACATTAACTGAAAGATGCCACAAGAGACCACATACTATATATATAAGCCCATTTACATGAAATGTCCAGAATAGGCAAATCTACAAAGACAGAAAGTAGATTAGTGGTTGCCTAGGGATAAGGGGGCATTTGGGAGAAAGTGGAATTTCTTTTCAAAATTTCCCTACCACCTAATTTAAAAGGGATAAATGCAGCCTGTCTAAATAGTATGCTACATATAAAATAAATGAGCAGTTTTAATTTACCTTGACCACTTCTTCAAAAGTCTCAAGGTTTTCTTTCATACTATAGTGAGAACGCAGAAAGGAGACAAAGTTGCAAGGGTACATTCCATACAGGCGATGAAAGAGCGCATACACACTGGCATGTAGATGGACGAGATAGACTTCTGCCACATGGCCTAAAAAAGGAAACCGTTGAGAGAAGCCTCTTAGTTGGACCCAAGATTGAGCAAGATTGAGGTGTGTAAAACAGACATGAACATGTGACTGCTGGCATGATTTTTCTATATTTTTTTCAAGACAGGGTCTATCTAGCTCTGTTGCCCAGTGCAGTAGCATGACCATAGCTCACTGTAGCCTTGAGACTTTTTTACTTATGTATACTCCCACCTCACTCCAAAGATAGTAAAAGTGGTTTCCTAAAATACAGATCTGATCACAGTAGACACTCTTATTTAAAATCAACCAATGGCTCCCCATGGCCTTTGGATAAACTCCAATCTACTGAGTGTGACCCATAAAGGCTCTTACTGATCCACTCTCTGCCCTCCTTTCCAGTCATTCCCCAGAAAGGACCCCAAACATTCTTGCAGTACTGAGCTACCTTCATGGTAGTTACTCTCCCTAAAATTGTAATTATACTTTTCTATTGCCAAATTCACTATGAGTTTCTTGAGAAAAGGACTGCCTTATCTCTGTACCCTCAGTGCTTTTGCACCATGCCTGGCATTTAATAAGCATTCAATATTTGTGGAATGAATGTGTGAGAACCTTTTAAAATCAGTATGCAGTCTTAGTTATGCAGATTTATAACTGAGAGTTAAAAAACTATTACCTAGAAATTAGCTTAAAGAGCAAAGAATGGGAGAAATTGAAAATTCACTTTATTTAGCCTTACCTAGACCCTACAGAAACCCCTGTGCCCGCAGGGCACATAAAGGTCCTGCATAATAATGGACAGACTGCTCTTCTTCCATATTGAACTTCAGTTGGAAGAAGTGAGTCTGGTCTCAAAATGGAGCTAAAAGTGTCACTCAGGTGCCCCTAGCCTGACTTTGGCCAAGGCCACTGCAGCCACCAGTGGGAGGAGGGCTATGATCCAAAGCAATTAGAGCAGTTGAGAAAACTGTTTATTGGTGGCCTGAGCTTTGAAACTACAGATGGTGGTTTAGGAGAATATTTTGAGAAATGGGGTACACTCATAGATTGTGTGGTGGAGAGACCCCCAAACGTTCCAGGGGCTTTGGTTTTGTGATTGACTCTTGTGTTGAAGAGGTGGATGCAGCAATGTGTTCTCGGCCATACAGGCTGATGGGCAGATAGCAGAACCAGGAGCTGTTTCTAGAGAGGATTTCACAAAGTCTGCCTCTAGAGAGGCTTTACAAAAAGCCTAATGCCCACCTAACAGTGAAGAAAATTTTTGCTGTTTTTTGGTTTTTTTTTTTTTAATTTTAATTTTTCAAGAGAAGGTGTGTCGCTCTGAAGCCCTGGCTAGAGTACAGTTGCTTCATCGTAACTTATTGCAACCTCAAATTCCTAGACTCAAGTAATCCTCCTGCCTCAGCCTCCAGGGTAGCTGAGACCATAGGCACATGCCACACCTGGCTAATTTTTCTATTTTTTGTAGAGACAGGAGCCTCGGTCTTACTCAGACTGGTCTCAAACGCCAGACTTTGAGCAATCCTCCCACTTCAGCCTCCCAAAGTGCTAGGATACAGGTGTGAGCCACCACACCCAACCTGCTGGTGGTTTTAAAAAAATACAGAAGAATAGATTAATAACTTCAGAGAATATTTTGAAAAATATGGCAAGACTGATACCATATAAGTTATGGAAGACAGGCAGAGTGGAAAAAAGAGAGGATTTGCTTTTGTAGCTTTTGAATATCGTGATACAGTTGATAAAATTGTTGTTCAGAAACACCACACTCTTAATGGGCATAATCATGAAATGAAAAAGGCCCTTTTGAAATAAAAGATGCAGTCCACTGCATCACAAAGAGGTCGTGGAGGTGGATCTGGCAATTTTACGGGTCATGTAGGAAACTTTGGAAGTGGTGAAGGTATTTTGGCTGTGATGGACACTTTGGTGGAAGAGGAAGCTATGGTGGCAGAGGTGGTAGCAGCAAGGTTTAGTTACAGAGGATGTGGTGGTGGCAACTATAGCAGTGGTCCTTTATAGTAGTAGAGGGGGCTATGGTGGTGGGAGACCAGGATATGGAAAGCAAGGTGGTGGATATGGTGGCAGTAGTGGCTGATATCATGGTTATGATGAAGGAGAAAATTGTGGCAGTGGTAACTATGGGGATGGTAGGAACTATGATGATTCTGGAAATTATAGCGGACATAGCAATCAAATTATGAAAGGGGGCAGTTTTAGTAAAAGAGATGCAGGCAGTCCCTATGGTGGTGGTTATGGATCTAATGGTGGAGGTGGAAGACATGGCAGCAGAAGGTTCTAAAAACAGCAGAAAAGCTCTTAGCAGGAAAGAGAGCAAAGAGTTGTCAGGAAAGCTGCAGCTTAAGCAGGCCTGTCATGACCATAGTTTCCAGAAAGTGCAAGTATCAATTAATGCAACGCAGTGTCAATTAGATGTATATTCCTGAGGTCTTTCATCTGTTGTAGTTTTGTCTTTTTCTTTTCATTACATCAGGTATATTGCCCTGTAAATTGTGACAGTGGTACCAGGAATAAAAAATTAAGGAATTTTTAACTTTAAAAAAATGAACCATCCCTTTCTCCCCAAGAAGATCCTGCTAAATAAGCTGGCACCACATGGACCTGTGCTTGTTATTTAATCCTATACAGGAAGCCACAGCATTCTGTCTCACAGGTCTTACATATTTTATCCTTTTGATATAAATATCTCATGCTGGGATAACCTAAAGATTCTGAATTTCACATGCTTACAGCTTCTGAATCACTTTGAGAGAGCTATACTACCTGCCAATATGAAAAAACCCACTGTGTTTGGAACTGGATCGCTAATTAGGACATGCTGCATTTCCCTCCCCCTTCTATAGAGACCACAAACAGGTTCTCAGAACTAGATGTTTGTGTTCTATCACGACAAAAGAGTATGACAAAAATGTTCCTACAAGCATAGTCGTATATGCTACCATGTAGATGGAAGCTGTTTTCTAGACTGACTACCAGAAATCAGTAAGTTTTACATCCTACCACTCGATTTCTCTGACACCAGTCCTTTTAAGCCAATAGAATAAAGAAGGTATCTCAACAGTCATGCTTCTTACATGTGCCTAGAGCAGACAGGCCCAAGGTACTGCCTCCTCTGTCTTGTGAAAACCACTCATTTCAGCTATAAATTTTACATGTCCATCCCTTACAGCTGTGGTACTCAACCCCCAGGCTGTGAACCAGGCCACAGAGCTCCACCACACCCCTCCAATATATCCGTGGAAAAATTGTCTTCCATCAAACTTAGGAACCAGGTGAGGGAGCAGTGAGCAGGAGGTAGTGGTGAGCAAGCAAGCCAAGCTTCATCTATATAGTCGCTCCGCATGGCTCACATCACCACCTGAGCTCCGCCTCCCCCCAAACCAACCTCCCATCTGTGGAAAAGTTGTCTTCCATAAAACCGGTCCCTGGTGCCAAAAAAGTTGGGGACCACTGCCTTACAGCACACGACCTGTTAATCAATAACGAAAGCATTCACCCCGTAAGATCTGACAGGTACATAGGAGAGCTGTACCTGGTTTCTTCAGGCACCAAGATGAAAGACGGCCAAAAATATCAAAGAAATCAAGAAGATGCTGTTTCCCAGACTGTGGAATCATTGGTAGCATGGTTATCAACACCAAGACACCTGTAGTGAGGACGACCACGTCGGTGTCCATCTGCAGAAGGAAAAGGCAAGCAGGAAACCCGTCAGGAAGAGCACCAGGATCAGCACTGCACAGTATGTGATGAGGCTCTAAATACTGAGGGGATCACCGATCAGAAGTTCACTCACATGCTCATGTCCCTAAGGATTTTGAGGGGACATTAAAACAGACCTAACAGATAAATTGCTAAGTCCTGGCTCTACCGCAGTGAGTCTATGAGGACCACTTACAACACACCTATACAGACGCATCTGGGAGATGAGCTTAAACTGGACTTAGGGACTCCCAAGGCCTGAAGCCTTAGGATGTTTTATTTATAGTGCTTGGACGAAAGCACAAGAAGTTGCTTTTTAACAGAACACAGGAACGCTGCTCTGAGTTCATTCATTGAACCACACCTAAGATATTTACTTTTTATGTCAATTAAAAAAAACCAACACCATGACAAGTAATTCCATATTTTTTAAAGGATGACAGAAGAATAACTGAAGAAGAAATTACTAACATATAGTGCTATAAAGAAATATAGCACTAACAAATCAACTTAAAGGTTCACTTCATAGCAATATTTAAAGATCAGCAAATTAAAAAGATATGGAAACCTCTGGCCATGCCTATAGTTTAAGTCAAATAACTTTAGGCTAATTAAAGATATTTAACATCCAATGGATGATAAATCAACTCTGACTAGCCACAGAGCTCACCCGCTCCACAATTAAATCATGGCTCTTTGCCAAGAAGCTGAGGTTTGGATTTATTAAACAAGATAGTAATCAAAAGATTACCATGCAGGCTAAGACATCCATTATTCCTATTAGAAAAGGAATCTACAAGTCTGGAAATAAAGTTTTAAATATACTTAATTTTTATATCAAGCACCAAGCCTTTTGTTATGGCAGATATCTAGTAAGATGATTTGGGTAGGAGAATTGCGAATATAATGGGAATGTATATTCCAGCAAAAAGAACTAACTAATTTCATTTATCATGACATACTAACTGAAGGCCTGGGTAACAGTCTGTGATTAATATTCAAAGCTTACCGTTTTGGAAAGGATAAGTATTTTGCTATCTGAACCAAACGTTGTGCCTTAAAACTGGATTATAGTCTCGTCAATCCATTTGCTTAAAAAATACTAAGTTGTTAAAACTATTCCTGTTTTTGCTTAACATTAAATACATTTTTATACTACCCTATCAATGTGATTCCTTGGGACCCACCTCTAGGGATAATAAAACAATTACCCTTCTTGGCAGACACAAAAATCAATGTGCATGGTGCTGTATCAGATGAATCCAATGGCACTGCCATCCTGGAACAAACACTACTGGACAGTTTCATGTCTCTGTGAGGTACAGGCAGTTAATATTAACCACATTTTCTTATTTTATAGATAGGAAACAAGTCCAGGAACTAAAAGAGATTAAGCAAATAGCTCTGAGTATTGCAGCAAGCCACTGTTATAACTAAAACCATAAAGTTCTACTTAGGTTTTTGACTCCCTGTGTAGAAAAATACACAAAATTTAGTGCAAAGATAGAACACAACTCAGTAAGACCAATAAAATCTCAATTATAGCTGCAACCAGAACATACTCCTAAATGGTTAAAAGAAAGTTAAAGCCAAAAAAAAAAGAAAGAAAAAAAAAAAAAGTTAAAACTATTTTTCAGGCCGGGCGCGGTGGCTCACGCCTGTAATCCTAGCTCTCTGGGAGGCCGAGGCGGGCGGATTGCTCAAGGTCAGGAGTTCAAAACCAGCCTAAGCAAGAGCGAGACCCCGTCTCTACTATAAATAGAAAGAAACTAATTGGCCAACTGATATATATATAAAAAAATTACCCGGGCATGGTGGCGCATGCCTGTAGTCCCAGCTACTCGGGAGGCTGAGACAGAAGGATCGCTCGAGCCCAGGAGTTTGAGGTTGCTGTGAGCTAGGCTGACGCCACGGCACTCATACTAGCCTGGGCAACAAAGCAAGACTCTGTCTCAAAAAAAAAAAAACAAAAAAAAAAAAAAAAAAACTATTTTTCTATTGGCTAAAAGAGAATTTAGAAACAGGGATTCCCAAAAGAGACTCCAGTGTATTTTTAACTGAAGGAAAGCTCAACAATGATGAAATCAAAGACGTGTGGAATAACGTAACATTGAACCCATCTGATTGAAACTTTACCATATTTGGTTAACAAGATATTGGAGAGCCATTGTGATATACTTGAGAACATACTAAGTACCAACTCTGGACTGTGTTATATTTGAGAAAAGCCAAATGCCTAGAAGTTTATAAATTCTAAAAGTTAAAATCTAGCTTGCTAGTTTTAAGTCACTAAAAATTTCAGAAACTATACACTCATAAAGCCATTTCACTCAAACCCTTTAAAAACATCCTACCTTGAGACATTTTAGTAAAGAAGGCAAAAGAGGTGCTTGAGAGAGCTTATGCTTCCACGATGGCTGTAGTCTTATGACATGCCCCAGTAACGAGAGGATGGATAAACGAGTGGCGGCTTTGCCCACATATTCGTTAATTTTGTCCAAGAGGTGCTGAAAATGTAAAAGAACAAGGAAAAGCCTCACATGAATATATGCAGTTGACAAAAATAAAGTCAGCAATGATGTCCTTAAGTATCTCAAGTCTTCCCGCTGATGTAAAGCACGAGCCAAGCAGGTAAAGAGATAAAATTCAAGATTTTTAAAAACACTAGCAAACAAACATTGCTGCATTTGGCCTGAGAGGGGTCAGCCAGTCTGCATTTCATGAAAAAGATCCCCATAATACAGATCTGCAAGGAGGAGGAGACTTCACAGCCCCTCGCTTGGAACTACAAAGAGGCCGCTTATTACTAAAGCAATTCAGCCTACATGGTTTGGCCCCAACCATAAATCAGGTAGAAGAAGAAGTTACAATTCAGCCCATAGTAAAGAAAAAAATAAGATGCATTATGAAAGGCACACAACGGCAAGCTCTTCAAATCCTAGTGAAGTCGCTCTCATACACAAATTCAAGACTTACCAAAGTTTGTGATTACAATGCTTTGTTAGCTATTTACCACAAACAAAAATAAAAACAAAAGGAAAATACAAAGGGGCCCTCCAAGTGCTTGGTGCTAGGAAACAAGACTTGTCCATTTGCCATGTTAATTACCTGCACTTACATGTTGTCATATTGATAAAAGCCTAAAAATCCCATTGAAAGCATGGTTTGAAAGATAGGTACCTATGGGTCAAATTGTCACTATACAATTATAGTATTGGAATTATTGGACTTCTTTAGACAACAGTATCTTTAAAAACCTCTAAAATATGTTTTATTTTGTAAGCTTTTCAGGAAACAGGGTTCCTACAAGTTATTTTTCTATGCAGTTATAATCTGGGAACAATGTCATCTGTGGCATACATACAGACATTAAAAGAATAAGCTCTGGACAAACTGTACAGTGGATTTGCATAGAAGCTGTTACGCTACTCTTAGAGAATGTAGTGCCCTATTATATTTCAGTGCTTACCTTATCATGTGGCTCTTGCAAGGTAGTCAGGATGTGCAATACCGGCTGCGAATTGGTTTCCAGATAATAATCCACCAAGGTGTTTACAAGCATAGGACCACGGTCTAAGTAAAGAAAAGGGCGATTTATGATATTTATTTCCTTTAATATTCTAAATTTACCTCAAATACTTGCTTGTCACAAATTCAGAAAATGTTTCTTTTAAAAAAAAAAAAGAAAACGTTTCTTTGTGTGCTACCAAAAGTTTTATGTAGCACTATATTTCTGTCTCCTTTATTTATTTATTTATTACAAGAGGATAATTCCAAGGTTATGTGCCTCAAAAACCATAAATACATATTAAATGCTTTGTTTGAATTACAAAAAATAACCTATGGCCATTGTTAAAAATGCAGACTATATAAAAGTACATAAAAGTGAAAATCCTCCTTACCTTCTGCCTCCCAACCCCCTCTTGGGATTATACCCTTAAGTTTGATATGTGCCCTTTCAAACCCCTTCCTACTTATATAACCACACATGAACGTGTAGCCCTCATGTCCATACAGATACAGTTTGCATACATATATATTCTTCCCACTTAACAATGTGTTGTAACACCTTCCTGCGTCAGCAACTATGACCTATTTCACTCTTTTATTTTTAAGAGAGTGGGGGTCTCACTCTGTCACCCAGGCTGGAGTGCAATGGCACATTTATAGCTCACTGCATCCTCGAACTCAAGGCTTCAAGTGATCTTCCTGCCTCAGCCTCTTAAATCCTGGGATTATAGGTGTGTGCCACGGCACCCAGCTTTATCTCATTCTTTTTACTGACCTCCTAGTGCCCCCCACATGGCTTTACATAGTTTAACCATTTACCTACTGAAGGATACTGGGCTTTTCCAATTTTTCACTGTATTTCATTCAAGGATATAAGATACAGATTCCTATAAGTGGGCCAAATGCTATGTTTTCAAATTGATGACAGGTACTCCAAAAAGGTTGAACACAATTTATACTCCTGCTAACATTACCTGTTTCTATGATCAGTATTTGATTTTTGCCAACCTGCTAAGCAAAAGAGGCTACTGTTTAAATTTGTATTTCTCAGATTAAAGAGAGGTTAAACACTTTTCATATTAAAAACACATAAATGATTTACAGTTGAAATAATACGTTTGGAGCATGCTTTAGAGTATTTGGAGGGTGGTGGAGAGTCAGGGAGGTAAGACTAAGCAAGAAAGGCAGAAATGCTGAAACTAGGTTCGTGGGGTCCACTGAATGACTCTCTCTCACTTCTGTCTGGGCGTGTATTTATTTCCATAATTAAAAGTTTCAAACACAAACAGAGTGAATCAAACAATATATGCTCTCTTTTGGTGATTTAAAGAACTCTTCAGAAGATGAAAACTAAAATTTACCAGCAGGATTCTATTCGGCTCTAGGTCAATCTCTTCTTTTTAGCAGATAAGCTTAAAAAGGATTTTTTACTTTGCTAACCAGAACTGAGGTTCTCCTTGAAGACAGCTGTCACGTCATCTCGCACACCCAGCATGGGGGAATCCAGCATGGAGAGGAGCTCCCCGACGTTCGCTTGTTGGGCCATCCTCTTACACGAATGTGCTGTGCCGGCTCCAGGACGTGCATTAAAGGTTCTGAAGGCTCTTCATTGGGGCTACTACCAGACTGAGAAAAAAGACAACCAACAGTGTGACTAAATGGCCCCATTTTTCCCGACAAAAAAACTACCTATAAGACAAACCAGTGAATGTGTCCAATGCAGTGAAAAGTTTGGCCAGAACTTTCTGATTCAAACAGTCAATCAGTTTGGCTGGTAAAAGAAGATACGGTGTACGAATAATTCTTTAGCAAATTTATGAAGAGGAGTTCCATGGAATGCGACAATCAGAGAATAACCTGAAAAACTGATAACAGTAAGACCGATCATCACAGCAACTTAATGACAGGGCCATATATATAAGTTTTCATTCCTACTTCTGATTCTACCTTGAGTTTTGGCTAAGACTATGTTTATATTTCAAATCATTGATCTAAAAAGTAGACAAATTGTTTTCAGAAAAAGAGCTAAAAGCATACTAATTCCTTTTTGACAATCTTATCAATATCTAAAAGTTAGTACAGCTGGTTAGGTCACAAGTCCATCAAGTCTAACACCCAGCATGAACCAGGGATCACTTCTGTTTTAGTGTATACTACTTGTCCTAGACATCTAGTGCACACCCAAATGCCACTGGTTACAGGGAAAGATTGGTACCATCAGAGCAAACCTTCAAAAACTCACCCTTTAAAACTCCAGCTCTTTATGGTAGTGGAACAGCTGCCTTATCTAGATATACAAAAAGCAACTCATTCCCCAAGTGTTACTATATACACTTATGATTGATTATTTCTCCCTAATTTGGTCTCTGAAGTTGTATTTGTAAAAATAAATCATAACAGTTACCATTCATAAGACAGGTAACCATACACTTTTTACAGACATCATCGAACATACTCTTATACTACTACCACGTGAGTGGTACTTTTGTCCTCACTGTACAGGGAGAGGAACAGAGATCAAGCCATTTGCTCTGGGTCACAAAACTAGCAAGAGGTACAACCAAAGGAGAATAATTGGCATTTGAACCCACATCTGCCTGACTCCAAAGCCCTGAACCCTTAAATGTAATATTAAGCTAACTCATGGTTCTGATCGTCCAGCAACTGTGAGGTAAGTAGGCATTGTCCTTATTTTACAAATGGTAGTAATGTGGATACCCAAAAAGGATAAATAATGTTGTTAAGATCACATGGTAAAGCAGAACTTAGATGGCCCAATTCCCAGGCCTTATACATGATTGTACATGTCATTTGCAGCCATATTAAAATATATTCCTATATGCTTTCCTTTGAGTAAGCAAAAGTAGCAGTTCTTAAGCTTCAGTGTGCATCAAAACCACCTGAGATGCTTGGGGGAAATGCAATTTCCTGGGCTCATTCCAAGACTGAATTTTGGGGCTCAGACACCTACATTTTAATAAAGCACCTCAGGTGATTCTTACGTAAGTGATACACAAGTCCTATATGAGAAACATTACACCAAAGAAAAATCCAACCAAAAATCCAACTTAAGCTCCTTCTGCAAGGATGCCAAATTTAAATTAACAATTACCAAATTTAAACTAGAAACTGTCAAATATAACTTAATATCATCCATGCTCTCATTTAATTACAACCTGATTGTAATTAAATGAAAGCCACTGATTTGGCTCTTCGTAAATCAGAAGTTCATTAGTCAGAAAAAAATTAAAATGTCTAAATGCATTTTTAAGAGCAAATCATGATGTAGGAAGCTGCTGGCTCATACTTATAAATATAAATCTTACAGATAAATTACAAAGGAAGTTAATTTCAAAGGGCTCAGAGGTGTGAGACCACAACTGGTAAGATTTTATTATAAGGGTTCAAAACAAATTTTATCTTATTCTGAGTTGAATTAGACTTATAAATGAAGATAATATCAACCTGACAGGTTTACTGTTCACTCAGAAAATTATTTTTTTTATTTTTATTTTTTTTGAGACAGAGTCTCACTTTGTTGTCCAGGCTAGAGTGAGTGCCGTGGCGTCAGCCTAGCTCACAGCAACCTCAAACTCCTGGGCTCAAGCAATCCTGCTGCCTCAGCCTCTCAAGTAGCTGGGACCACAGCCATGTGCCACCATGCCCGGCTAATTTTTTTCTATATATATTAGCTGGCCAATTAATTTCTATTTATAGTAGAGTCGAGGTCTCGCTCTTGCTCAGGCTGGTTTCGAACTCCTGACCTTGAGCGATCCACCCACCTCGGCCTCCCAGAGTGCTGGGATTACAGGCGTGAGCCACCTTGCCCAGCCCACTGAGAAAATTAAATGAGATAATGTATGTAAAGAAATTAGCACAGTACCTGATACAAATAAACACTCACTGAAATAGTACCTATATATTATCATAAAATATACTAGTAAAAATATTTGGGCCACCACTTTCAAGATGACTTTTTAATAGCACATTTATCTAGCTAACCCCCACATTTATTTCTACTTCAGGTAAATCACAAATGATTCTCAATTAGTGATAAAGAATGATACTCATAAATTTAAAAAGTTATTTTGTTCCTAAGTTTGGCTTTGTTCCAATAAAACTGCTACTTATCTACTCTTGGCCTAATGAGACTCTGAGCTTGGGTCTTCTGTGCAGAAGACGACACGTGAGATCAGGTCCCCAAACGCAGGCAGAGCACAGTGACGGGGGCACAACTTCAAAGGAGGAGGGCACCCATCCAGTCAACCTGGTGATGACTGTATAGGCTAACCGGCTTGGGCTACCTACCTTGTTTTTCAGAAGGTTTTATTCTAAAACACATTAGAACATTTTTGGCAATAAGCTTTTCTCTTAGGTTCTAAAATTCTACTATTTCACCATATTTTTTAATCCCCAGGAAAAATACAAATCTTGGGTTTTGTGTAAGATTCTTCACATAAGCGACTCACGTTCAAGCATTTCTGACATTCTAAAAAGCCCTCATGAGAGTTAAATCATAAGCTTCTGGAATCAGTTCCATAACTAGAATCTCTCTCCTTTTTAAATTCATTCAAATATTTCTTGAGTGTATACTAAATGCAAGGTGCTAAGTAGTGAAGATAGTACAATGTCAGAACTACAGGTATTCTGGTAGAATAAAGGACATGGTTCAGTATGTACCCAAAGGAGGGAAGGGACCAGCTCACTGGAGTCAGTGGGAATAGTGGTGAATGGGACAAACACATGTTAAACACACTTTACAGGCTTTGGAAGAATGGCTGGGAAAAATCACTTAAAGGTTAGCCCCACAGGCACACTGAAGCATCCCACTTACAGCCAGGAAAGTCTCTTTTCCATTTTGGAAGTAAGCCACCAAAGAAAATAGCATATAGGAGAAATCAAAAGACATTATCTGGTGAATACCTTTCTGTACCCTACAGGCTATAAAGCAACTTTCCACTTAGGGTTTTTTGGGTTTTTTTTGTTTTTTTTTTTTTTTTGAGACAGAGTCTTGCCCGTCTCCTGGGCGAGAGTGCCATGGCATCAGCCTCACTCACAGCAACCTCAAACTCCTGGGCTCAAATGATCCTCCTCCCTCAGCCTCCTGGGTAGCTGGGACTACAGGCACGTGCCACCATGCTCGGCTAATTTTTTCTATTTTTAGTTGTTTGGCTAATTTCTTTCTATTTTTAGTAGAGACAGAGTCTTGCTCTTGCTCAGACTGGACTCAAACTCCTGAGCTCAAGCAATCCTCCTGCCTTGGCCTCCCAGAGTGCTAGGATTATAGGTGTGAGCCACCGCACCTGGCCTCCAATTAGTTTATTATCTTTAGTGAGAGTGCCACAGAATCATGCTATAGATGACTTTATTCATACTGATGACTTTATTCATAACCTTCAATGCCTACTCCCCACTCCAAAGCCTATTACTTTGCCGTCTTCTAATCTCAATAAAAGGCACTACCATCAGTCCAAAGCAAACACCCAGGTGACATCCTTGACTCTTCCACCACCATGTCTAACCTGTCAGCAAACCCACTCATTTTGCTGTCTCCTTTGCTATCCCTTTTCTAAGCTCCATCACCTCTCTCTTGGAAAGAAGGGAGCAGCAGCCTCCCTCACTACTTTCTCTGCTGTATTCACACCACCCTGCAATATATTTACAACCAAACAACCACGAGAGACTCTGAAACAGGAGTATCACAATCTATCACTCCCCTGTTTAAAATCATTCAATGGCTTCCCATGGAGCTAATAAGAGCCAAGCTATCAACCCCTCAACCTCCCTCTGCCTCTTCATTTCTCTGCTCTAGTCTTAGTCTTCTCAAACACATGAAAACTGGTTCCTTCTTGCATTTGCTGTTCCCTCTATGCCTGGAATGCTCTTCTTCCACTTCCTTGTGTGGCTGTCTCTCAGGTCAAAGCAGTAGCAAGGGTCTTAGCCACCACCTTTGAATAAAAGTTACTTTCTAATTCATGCAGAACCTTAAACCAAGTTTAAACTCTACAACAGGTCATCAGACTTGATCGAACAGAATACTTATGACCTTAACAAGCACAGAAAGTAGGGATTTACCAAAGTTCTATTTCAGTCTCTATATATTCTGATATTTGTGTTTGACCTTGGTCTTTAGAAGGTTTGAAAGTTGAACAGCCAAATGCCTTTACAGCAATGTTTCTGGCATCCTTGACTTTGTGTGTGTGTCCATGGCACTCCCATTACACCTATCTACATAACATCAGTGATGTGGACGAGGAATTAGTCAGAAGATTTAACAGTAAGTTAACATCTGAATATTCACTTTCAAATAAAGGTAAAATATTCTAAATGAAACATCCAAGTTCTGTGTGTAGTACATTGAAATTCTGTCAGTTTAAGTATAACATATATACTTACTATTATTATAAAAGTAAAAACTGCAATTAATGACAAACATGATTTTTATATTAAAACAACTAAAAACTTTCAAATAGTTAAATATATCAGTAATATGAACATTAAGAGTAGTTTAGCTAGGTAACTTTATAAATAACAGTATATGCTATTTAAGCCAAATGTTTTTAAAATTTAAATAACTTGGGCCAGGTACGGTGGCTCATGCCTGTAACCCTAACACTTTGGGAGGCTGAGGCAGGAGGATCACTTGAGGCTAGGAGCTTGAGACAGGCCTGAGTAACACAGTGAGACTCTGTCTTTACAAAAAAAATAATAATCAGCCAGGTGTGGTGGCACTCTTGCAGTCCTAGCCATTCAGGAGGCTGAAGGAGGAGGATCATCTGGAGCCCAGGAGTTCGAAGCTGCAGTGAGCTGTGATCACACCATTGTACTGCAGTCCCAGCAATAGAGCAAGACTTTGTTTCAAAAAAAAAAAATTAAATTAACTCATGACTAAGTAACAAACTAAATGATATCTTAATTCTAACTTTTATAGAATTGTTTTGTAGTATTTATTACAAAGTAACTTTTAAGCACTGAATTTAATTTGTAGTCCTAAAAAAAAGACTTTAGAAGTGCTTCACATCTTGTAAGGATGAATTACATATATTCATTTATAGTTTTTGCCAAAAAATAAAATGTCAACTCTGTCACCTCAATTTTATATGAAGAAATCCTTAATCATAGTCAATGACATCTATGATGTAAAAAATGTGCATGTAAGCCAAACATAAAGAATGTAAAAAATATGAAGAAACAATGTTAAGAAAAAGTGAAATACTCAAAACATATTTTGTACTCACTAATCAAACTTCAAAACAGACTTTACAAAAATGCTTCATGACAAAATTTCTTGAGGTTTTGAGTCTATAGAGGCTAAAAATTTAAACAAAAAGCTTGTCAAAATGATTGCTATATATGTATATAAAGTATAATGATCAAATCATAAATATGTATAATTACTGTGTGTCAATTAAAATAATTTTTTTAAGAGATACAGTCTCACTCTATTACCCCAGGTAGAACTCCTGGGCTCAAGCAAACCTCCCACTTCAGTCTCCCAAGTAGCTAGGACTACAGGCACACACCACCATGCCTGGCTAATTTTTAAATTTTTTTAGAGATTGGGTCTTGCCATGTTGCCCAGGCTGGTTTCAAATTCCGGGCCTCAAAAGATCCTCCTGCCTGGGCCTCTCAGAGTGCTAGGATTACAGGTATGAGCCACCGCACTTGGGCAAAAAAAAAAAAAATTTTTTGGACAGGGTCTCACTTTGTTGCCTGGGCTAGATGCAGTGGCAGCACAGTGTCGTCATCACAGCCCACTGCAATCTCAAACTCCTGGGCTCAAGTGATCCTCCTGGCTCAGCCTCCCGAGTAGCTGGCACTACAGACATGCACCACCAGGCCCACCTAATTTTTCTGTTTTTTGCAGAGACAGGGTTTCACTACATTGCTCAGGCTTGTCTTGAATTACTGGCCTCGAGTGATCCTCCCACCTCAGTCTCCCTAAGTGCTGGGATTACAGGTGTGAGCCACGATACCCAGCCCAAAATTTGTTTAAAAAGAGGAAAAATGTATTATAACCAAGAGCCTACATGAAAAAAGAAAAATGCTATTAAGAGTTAGATTTCTTTCCCCCCAAAAAAGATGACTGCTTACGTTGCCAATAATTTTTAGTAGTTAAAGAGAAGGATCTTTGAGGCTTGCCAAGTTATGAATCCCAGGTACAAGGTTCCTTCTAGAAAGCCATCTATCAGAAACCTCCCTGAATTCTGCTTTGTCCCAAAAGGTTAACAATGGGACTCTATGTGGCAGCTGAAGATGGTATCACACATTGGTAACAAGTGACCACAGGAGCAATTTAGCAGCTGATAGTGCTCACAAATATTTTTCCTACATTAAAATGTCAAACTTTTAAAATCTGACCATTAAAATGTAATACAATTGTAAGCATAAAAAATGTTTTTAAAAATCTGAGATTTACTTCTGTATCCCAGAACCTACATTTTATGATGGTGATATTCAGCTTGCACCTCAGTGATGCACCTCACATGTGACCATGTGACTTTAGGTTCAAATTCATATTCAATGGACCTCTAAAAATAGAACATAGCCAGGCATGGTGGTTCACATCTATCATCTTAGCACTTTGCGAGGCCAAGGCAGGAAGACTGCTTGAGGCCAGGAGCTCAAAACCAGCCTGGTCAACAGAGTGAGACCCCATATCTATAAAAAAATTTTTTTAATTAGCTGGATGTGGTGGTACGTGCCTATAGTCCTAGTTACTCTGGAGGCTGAGGCAAGAGGATCGATTGAGCCCAGGAGTTGGAGGTTACATTGAGTTATGATCACGTCATTGCACTCCAGCCTGGGTAACAGAGTGAGATCCTGCCTCTAAAAAAGTTTAAAAATAAATTTAAAAAATAATGAAATATAAATGGAACAGCATGAAGTACACATAAAAAAATTGAAAATGAAAAGTCAAACTCAGAAGACTTGCCCTACTTGTGAGAGAACGATACTTCCACCTTCTTGTTAGACAGCCTACAATCTGTATTAAGTCCCTGTGTATGAACCAACATGAATCTATAAGCCAAAAATAAATCCCTACCTTATTTCACAATTCCTATGACACAGGCAGACAACAACAGAATACAGTAAATAGCAACCAATGAGCCATGACACAAGTCACATCAGCTATCTGTGTATAAAGACAGTAGACCAAACAACTCCCTATCTTCTCTATACCCTTCCTGTACACACACAACTCTGCTGCATTTGGTATTCTTGCTGGCAAACTCAAAATTATAGTTTAGTGATTAGTCAGTAAGACTAAATTCATTTCCACAGAAATACCAGAGCCTCAATATTTATGAAAGGTATATTCTGAGACTTTGGGATTCCTCCAATTCCTAAAAGCCACTATAGCATATAATTTATCCCCCAAACTAATTTAAGACAATTAACAAATGCAGCCATGTTAAGATGCAAAAGCTCATTTGCCAGATCAGGGAGTCTCAGCTCAGAGCCTACATTAGGATCATCTGGAGAGCTTACACAATCCTGAAGCCTGGACCCCACTCCAGAGCAGGTTAAGGGTTAGGGTCCAAATACCACATTTGGTATTTTCTTTTTTTTTTTTTAATAAACCCATGTGGATTTCTAAGGTGCAACCAGAGTTAAGAACAACTAGTTAACTGACCTATGCCAGCACACAGGCTTCAATTTAATTTGACAGTTAAAGCCAAACTTTGCTGCTGGACAGAAGTGATTTGAGTCACAGGTCTATCAAGCACTAGCTAGTCTCCCTTAGGAAAATTACATTAACATCTTTGAGCCAGATTTCCTGTAAAACAGGGATACACGGAAAGTGTGGCTGTGAAGAAGAAAACAAGTAATGCAGTGCCTGGCACTAAATAAACAATTAATAATTATCAGTAATTTGACTAATTGCTCCATAGATGGTTTAGTTCCTGGCAAGTAGCTAAAACAATAGATGTGAAATCTCTGAATGTAAAAAAGCCTCTATGTACTAGTACAACCAGGGGCAAGATAACTAATTCCTTCCCACCTTCCTCCAGCCAGTGGACTGCTCATCCCTTACCTGTTCTGGGGACAATTGGTACTTCAGTTTCCAGGGCTGTCGACCTGGTGTCTTTCATGGTCACTGAAGAGAAAAAAACATATACAGATACATACATATGTATATAATAATCTTACAATTAACCAAAATCCCAGATGCAATCAGAAGTGGGTTTGGGGTTCATCTGGTACAAGCTCCTTCTACCCTGTCTGTGACAGGTGGCCATCTGGTTTCCACTGGAATGAACACTTATAATCATCAGGAGCACGTGCCTCTCCCTGTCTACGTTTCTGAACAGCTGGTTGCTGGAAAATTCTTTATATTGTGCTGAACTTGTAATCTCTGCCTTTGTTAATGTCTATTAGAGCTATAAACGAATGGACAGGATAGGCTCCAGAGTTAGAGAGTTCCGGGTTGAAATCCAAGCTCTGTCACTTATTAGCTGTGTAACATTTGGCTATTTATCTCAAGTCTCTAATGTCTAACCTTAAGTTACCTCATCTGTCAAGTGAGAATAATGGTGTCAACCTCACAAGGCCGATGGGGATCAGATGAGCGGATATGCCGCACAGCCCTGGGGGCAGCGTGGGCACACAGTAACTGCTGGAGGAGCTCTGCGAGGCAGGGCTGGCAGCAGGAGCCATGAGGGCACAAGCACTGAGTGGACCTGCATCATCTCACTGCCCGCCACCATCCCTCCCCCCACTAGCCTTTCAGTTCCTCGGCACCGCACACAAGCTGTCCCTGGGCCTAGGAGACTCTTGCCTTGGCTCCTCCTAAACCTACTCTTCATCCTCAGAATCTCAGCTCAGACATCACTTCCTCAGAGAAGCCTTCCCAGGCCTCCACTCCCACCACCCAGACTAGGTCAGATCCCCTGTCATATACTCTCAGCAGCCTATATTTCTTTGTGTCACTTACCACAACCCAATTAACGAAGTGTAATTAGTTACTGAATATGTCTCTTTCACTAGACATTACGTCTAGGGAGATGCTGCAGATTATTCAGTACTGCATCTCTACAGTGCCCAGCACTTGCTGACTAAATACTAGGGGTTAAGACATGTCTTAAATAAATGTACAAACCTAATTCCACCTTCAAGCAGCACAATGCAAGTCTAATCCTTCTACATGACAGGCACAAGATATTTGTGAACCTTTTACCCTTTCTGTCCAAATTAACTCGTATTAAATATCCACATTAAATATGAGTATACATACATTCAAATTTGCTTTTAAAATATGGGTCCTACAAAGATACTTAGGCATGATCTGATTACTAGATTATAAACTGCGTGAAGACAGGGACTGCCTGTTTGAGACACTCAGGGCCTGTCATGGTGCCTGGCACACAAGAGGCAAATATACACTATTCAGCTCAGCTAAGGTTTCATCAGTGTCTTTGGTAGCTGTTCCAGGGTTGGATACGGAGTATGAAAGGGAGCCTCATATATATTCCCCATTATGCCGAGCCCTGGAAAAACCTGGAAACAGCTCTTAAATATATAATCTTGGTCAAAGTCAAATTAGGGGATGGAGCAACTCTCTAACAATTAAAATCTCTTGCTCCAGATGAAAGGGTAATTATATTTCCACATGGAGCACATTCCAGACAGCAAACTCCAGGGGTCCTCAGCAGCGCCCCCAAGCGTGTGCGCAGAGCAGCAGGCAGGCTGGCCCTTCAGAAAGGCTGACCACACCATGCAGACAGGGAGTGCTTGCCTGGCCACATGCACTCCAAGTCAGAGAGCTGGAATTACAGTGCAGGAGCCTCTAATCTTCAGAATCTTAAAATCAGCTGTTTGTTAGTCTACTGAGTTATATAGACTTCCTCTTGGAATTAATCCAGTTGAACCTTTTACCTGAAAAGAAATATCTAAGGCAAGGGTAAAATTAGGATGCACACAAGATGGGATCTTGTAGCCTGCCCAGCCAAGATCACTGTCCTAGATAAAGGCACTACCATAAGAAAGTAGAGTGTTTTCTTTGTCCAGTGCTCCATGTTAAGACTTTTACTGTCTTTATCACTATGCTAAAAAAAAATGGTAATGGTACTAAATTGGCATTGTTGCTATGGCAAAGGCTACCTACCATTATCTATATTTTTAAGTGTTTATTTACTGATTCATTTATATTTCAATCCTGCCCTGTAGGGGTGCTACCACACAATTATTCTAGTCAGTAAAGTAAGATGTGATGTGTGAACCTCCTGACAGGAAGTGAGGGGCATGGTTGGAAACACCTGTCAGAGCGGAACAGCAGCTTCAGTGCATGTGCTTATCTTCAAAAGCCAAATTAAAAAACAGACATGCCCCTAGATCTAGATTTTTCCCTCTTTGATATCTGACTCAAAAGTTGTATTCTCACTTACATGCGACACTGCAACTTCACTTCTACAAGCAGTCTTTTTGAATAAAAATAAAGCACAGGTTTGAGAGGGAAGATGAGGGCTCTGTGTTTTAGTATCTTGGGATGAAACAAAAGGAGTACAGGTCAATTTGTTTTCACAGTTCATCTTAATTAATTTCGTTCTTTAGGTGTTTACAGATAGACAGCACACATGCCTGGGATTACACGCCAACTCCAGACTAACAGCCATGTATAGCTGTCATAAGCAGAGCCTATAAGCATTATTTTCACGTATCTCTGCCCTAGCCAAGATGCATTACAAGCTATGGGCTAAAAGCTATATATACCTTTAGGAAATACTAGTGGTAAGTACCTAAAATGTATTTAGAAAATATTTTATCTGAAATTATCAGTTGAGTTTTCAGACTTTTGGAAAATAGTGCTATGATGGGCCTAGAAACTCTCAAGGATGTCTCAGAAATATAAATCACATGATATAGGCAACTGCATATCAAATCACCTAAGATAATTTTGTACACATTTGCCTATGATGTAAAAATGCAACTATAGGTAAAAGCGAAGGCAGATGTCTCTTCACTATAACTTGTTTTCTATATTTAAGTTTTTATTTATAAAAATACAAAGACAATTCAGACACAGGCACAGGCACAGATGAACTACCTCAGAGTGAAGTACAGTCTAGATACAGCAGAAACACTACACTGCTATGTTAATGCTCAGCTCTGGCTCAGGAACTTTCAGGTAATTTCTTGGAGTAATATTTTATTAAGTGAACAAAGCCGCCTTTAGCACAAATGCATCTAAAAAGGGGAAGATACTTGCTCCAATTCTCTCTTCCTACAGATGCATAGAAGGAAGGAGAAAAGTAGGAAATACTAGTGAGAGTAAAATAGCTGATGGAAAAACCTGCCAACATGTGTAGTCACCTGTGATTTAAATGGTCTCAGCAATTGTAGTTCCTCTCAAGGTCAAACTGGGGCAAATCCAACTTGCCAGATTCTCCATTCAGAACTTCTGCCATTAGGGGCCTTGATGGACCATTTGCTAAAGCTTATATTCTATTCCAAAAGTGAAGAATCCTCTAGTAACTTGCCTATAGGGCCAGAGCTTGATTTTGGTAAAGAGTATCTCTTCTACAAATAATGGTATGTTTTGACTTTCTATTAACATGAACAAAATTATTTACCAAGAAAATACAAGCCAAACAGGTATGTATGTTTCAAAAAGTAACTATACAAAGCTTCCCTTAAAAGAAATATGAGCAAACTGTAGGATTTCTTTAGGTTTCAAGTTTATAGGACCAAAAGAGAAATATTCTAGGGAAGAAAGATACAGGGTTTGATAGTCAAGAACAATGGTTTTTAAAATGTTGTCCTCACACCACCAGCATGAACATTCCCTGGGAATTTGTTACAAATACAAATTCCCAGGTTTTGCCCTAGATCTCTGAATCAGAAACTTTGAGATGGGGACCTCCAGTTGATTTTGATGCCCACTAAAAGCTCAGAACCACTGGTCTAGGAACAAGAAAAGAGGGATGAAGATAAGAAACATTCACTTATATATCTGCTTTGAGGTTCAAAAGGGGGAAGAAATAATGCATAAACCTGGGAAAAAGCCCTGTGGAATTCTGCCAGGTGCTAAAGGTACCAACACAGACTGAATGCCAAGCCTGACAAGCATTTAGCAGGTTACATACCTGAGTTCTCTACTTCTATTTTCTTTTAAAATGTGGCACCTAAGATTAAATTCCCAGTGAAGTGTACAGAATCTTTCAATACAGAAGTTTAACAAAATGATTTATAACACAAACAGTACATAAGTCTATCTTTAAAAGACATGGGTGTTCCAGCTTTCTGGCAAAAAAAAAAAAAAGAAGAAGAAGAAAGAAAGAAAATTGTTTTTAATAAAGCCCAAGTCCATTTTTAAGAGCAGTAATCTATCTAAAATCATCAGTTGAGCTTCAAGTTGGGTCCATAAAGTCTCTGAAGCTGTATCCAAAACTCTGTGTCTGTATTTTTTCTTTTCTTTTCTTTTTTGGTAGTGAAGGACATAAAGGGTAGAGGAAGGGACATTTAGTCCTGTTTCCCACAGATTTTTCAGAGGGTAACTGAGCACCCGCAAACAAAAAAAAGTTAAAAACCACTGACCTGTGAGTTAGTTTATGAGATTAGCAGATCAGGCAGTTTATCACAGTGGAAGATTAAATGTTTGGGCTCTGGAGTAACCACACAGGGTTCACAGCCAGCTTAGCCCCTGAACAGTGACCTTAAGGCAACTTACTTCAAGTCCCTAAGCTTCAGTTTCCTCTTCCTATTCTGCCTCTTAAGGATGTAGAAAGAGTTAACAGGATCAGACATGTAAAATACTTAGCACAGTGTCTGGCACATAAATACTTAATAAATATAAGCTTTATTATAACAATATTACTACTAAATAAAATGTACTGCTGGGTACATAATACTTAGCATTCTATCCATTTAACAATTGGTATTTGAAACATTGATAAAAACATTCTATAACTTAAAATGGATACACTTCAAGTTTGTTACTGTGCTCTGTGAACTGCTCAAGGTAGCACAGGTTTTAATGACTACAGACATGAAAGTCACTACCTCTATTCTTCCTGTCACTCCCCATGGTGTCTTCTATCACATCACCAACAGAAGGGCAAAACTGTCCCCTGTCACTCAAACACTTCAAGGCCTCTATTGCCATTGTATTTACTTGAGAAAGTGACCTGTGAGTTGTAGGCCTGTAACTACCATGCCTTGTTTGGGATCAAAGCTGGGTTTTTAAGGCACTTTACTCACTAGATGTCAATCTGAATTCATTCAACTTTAAAAAGTATTGTTACCTTTTGCTACTTACCTGTATATAACAAAAGTTAGCACTACACAAGAGAAGGGACAAGAAGAAATTGACAATGTCCTGAAATAACACATCTCTTACATACAGTATATAAAATACAAATCTTTATTATCTCTCATGAAAACAGACATTAAAATAAACATTAAATTACTAATTTCCAGCAACCACAGTCTTAAAAAATAAATCAGAGAAAGAATAATCTCAAACTGCTGATGGTAGACCTCTTCCAGATCAACTTAAATGGTGAAAAAAATGAGCAGTTCATGCAAACCAAATTATATTAGTTACCAATTGATGATCTGAGGTAAAAAAGAAAAAATTCTCAAGTGTTTAAGTATATACTACATACAAATTTAAAGCAAACAGCTACAGATTTGAATGTTATTGAGTATACTTTTCTTTCTTGCCTACAGCTATTTTAAATGACAAACAAAACTAATACAGATAAAACTAATCTTTCAAAGAGAGATCTGTAACATGAGAACCTTATAGAGAATTACCTTCTAAAAAATATGATGATCTAAAGGAAAGGATAAGCAGGTTTTCACCCAACTATACGGGCTAACAGTCACCAATTTGCTTGGTTATTCTAACACCATTAACACTCTGATTCAATCAACTTGGTCAGAAGGTTTGGCTGAAGCCCCAGAAGGACTTTAAATCTCAGAAATTTAGAATAAGAAATATTCATTAATTTACAATCCAACTCCCTTTCTTCACAGATGAAGAAACTGAGGCTGATAATTGACTAGTTAAAGGTTGGAAGCTATTTGACTCTTTAGAAAAGCTTGAAATGGTTGATGTAGTGCTGTATTTGTCTCTTTGGCATCCAAGAATAGCCAATTAATTCCAGGAGAAGCTAATTTTAGTTCACTATGGCCCTGGAACCGGGAAATGAACATACCTGTAGCCTAACAAACTTCGAAAGAAGACACAAGCTGTAAGATCAAGGCAGCTCAAAATTAAGAGCCCCAAACTCACCCAACACTATATACATCAGAGGTTAGAAGCTATTTTAAGAAATGTCTCTGTAATAAATTACAAATTAAAAGAAAATAGCCAGAATAATACTTCAAACCAGTGGTCCTCAACCTCTAGAGCACGTCAGAAGCAGACTTCTTCCAAAATATATACACAAAGTGTCCTCAAAGACTGAATATGTAGGTCTACCTACTATGGGGCCAGGTATCTGTGCACGGAGATTCTCATGAACATTATAGTTTGAAATCCCTTGTTTCCAGAAATTTCATTATTCCGTACACATTACATATATGGGAGTACATTAGATTTGCCCTAATAAGATTATTCAGATTCATCTCACCAATGAAACCAGGCACACACAGAAGGCATCATATTACACCACAACAGACCCACCACACTGGATCTTTGCTCTTAACCCAGCGAGGAAGAGTAAACTGAGTCACAAGATTTGAGATACTCCAATATAACGGCTAGGAGCCGCCTTCTTTCTAACTAGGAATTTAGGAACATACCAAGCATTTATGACACCAGGAAATACAAGAAGCAAAAAAAGCTTACATCATTTGCCCTTCTAGGCACGTGATTTAGGAGTGTTTGGGGTATTAATTTTAGTAAGAGTATATTTTCCATTTACATCTTCTATAAATACCCCTTAAATTTACACCAGGTGGTTAGAGGAAGATTCTGCAGTTCCCCAGGGCAATAGCAAATAATGTTTCAGTGTTTCTGAGGAGTCTCATTTGCCTGATGCATGACTGTTAAAGGTACATTTCCCTACACAACCCTAAATCAGTTTTCATATTTGCATATTCCAGGTTTACTCAGGAATGCTCAACTTAAGAATCACAGGTGGTTGCTCAGTAAATCAAAGGCTCCCAGAAGATTAGGTTTTATAATGCTTCCTGAAATTTACAGCTCCACTTTGCCAGCCTGTTTGAATTCAGATGACTCCAAGTTGATCCCAAAATTATAAATCAAAGTATCTCAGAAGAGTATTATTCTATTTTAGTACTTTTACAGCTTACTCTATGTAAAGTGAAGTGCTATTTCTATGCTACTAAAAAAAAAAAAAAATCCAGCAAGGATTTTAGTAAGACTTCTTTCTGCAAAAATCTCATCAGTTTTTATTTAAAAAACAAATACTTTTCAGCCTAATTTAGACTAACAAGTTTACATGCACAACACTGCCATCCCAAAACAAAACCTAAGGCAAATAAGCCAAGTGCACCCCCCCCATCAAAATTAAACACACACATGTGTACAAAACCTCGGCTAACTGATTAATTCTAATCACTTAATGACAGGTCAGCTTTGATCAAGTAACAGATAAATAAAACTCTAGTCTTTGGAATCAGTCAGACCCCAGTTCCACTCCAGGCTCAGATACTTCTCAGTGTGTGACCTTAGGCGAATCACCCTACTGTCCCCAGGCCTCAGTTTCTTCCATCGGAGGTGTTAATAGTAGTGGCTGCCTCTTGCATTTGTTGTGAGGACCAAAGGAGATGATGACTGCAAGTGCTCCATAAACGCTAGCTGTTGTTATTGGCTAGGAGGACTGCGTCCCCAAGTCTGCCACCCCCCCAATTCAAGACACACGAAGTAAAGCACTTTAAACAAGAAACACAAAGAGCGAGCTTTAATTCTACAAGGGATCTCCGGTTGCAGGCTCTCTTCATCCTCCAGTTCCTCAAACGAATGAATGAGTGCCTAGGAGTTGCTCTGCAAATAGCTGTCTCTTAAGAATCACCTCTGCTGACTTTAAGGTAACTGTCTTTCACCACCAATTAAACACCCACAAGCACACCAGGAGCGAGGCTCTCCAGTCATGCAAATTTCAGCGGAGACGACGAGTCTAGGCGAGTCCCTGATGCCCACAGGCAGCCTCCATTCATTCTCCCCCCCACCGCAGACCCCTCTCCGTAAGTCCAGGGTCCAGCCCCACCCCGCAACCCTTCCGCTCCCGCCGAGCGCCTCTCCCCTGCGCTCCGCACCCCGGGTGAACCTGTCACCCCACCGAGGGACCGGCTGGCGAGGGGGCCCACCTCACCCCTGCCCTCGGCACCGAGGCCCGGGGGTGCAGCCGTCCCCTCGGCCGCCGAGGAGGGACGAAGTGCCGGCCGGGCCCGCCTCTCCTCCCCAGGGACCCGCCAGTCCCGGCTGGGCCTAGCCGGAGATAGCGCGTAATAAGAGGGAGGGGAGAGCTGCCCGAATCCCCCTTCCCCGGGGTCCCTACCCAGCAAGTGACCCACTTAGCCCACCCCCTCAGAGGCTCTCAGACTGGGATTACGATGCCAGGGCTGCCCCAAGAAGCCCCCATAAAAAGGAGGGGGAGACACCCCCATACTCACCCACCATCTCCTCCCCCTCAGCTGTTTACCTCACAGTTCCTCCAGCCTACAGGGCGCCGCCATCTTGGACGTACGGCACCTCCCCCCGCGGTGAAATGTCCACGGCCGGCCGCGGCCTCCGCCACGAAAAAGAGTCCCCAGCCAGGCCTAGCCTACTTTCCGAACCAAAGGGCAGGTGACCCTAGCCCTAACCCTAACCCCAACCCCACCGAATGGAAGAGGCCGTTCCACTCATTAATGAGGAAGTGATCTGGCCGAGAGAAAAAAACAAGAAGAGTTTTTTAGGTAGGGGGGCGGGGACGGGCGGAAGGATCCCGCAAGGTTGCCGCTGAGCGATCTTGTGACTCTGAAGGAGGCAAAAAGAAGGCCCGGCACGGCGGGAGGAGCCACGCGAGAACCCGAGGGGCGGGGCGGCGGGTCACGTGGCCGGGCGGGCGGGAGGGCGCTAGGAGAGGCGTAAACAAGCCGGCCCGGCTGGGTGTGGTTGCGGCGCCCCCCTGCCGGTCCTGCGGTCCCTCAGGGTCTTCCTGATGCCGGCCACAGAGCTGCGGTTCCACTTCCCAGAGAGCCACGGGGGCCCGGGTGGGCGGTGCAGGGCCTGCCTTGAACCCCAGGGGTGCGGCAGCTCGCCTGGGGAAGGAGTAAAAAGCTGGGCCAGGCAGCCCTCTTCCCTTGGCAGCGACTTGCAAAGCCTGCCTCTGGCCTCGGCCTCCGAGCCGTTGCCACTTCGCACCTAGGCATGACATCTGTGGAAAACCCACCCTGAGGAGGAGGAGGCAGCGTTAAAATCAGAACACCGAGATTCATTTCCTGCTTTGCTGCCTCCTCACGGTGACAAGGCTTGACGTCCTCTAAGCCCGTGTCTCCCTCTGAAATGTGCGTGATAAAATTCGTGAAGTGAGGAATCAGGTGTGGAAAGTGTTCAGCTCGAGCCCCACACCTGTGCCCGGTGGCTCACACCTGTAGTCCCACCAGCTGGGTCTGAGGCGGGAGGGTCGCTTGAGGCCAGGTGTTCAAGACCCTACCTGGGCAACATAGTGAGACCCTGTCTCTAAAAACAGGAAAATAGGAGGTGGCCCTTATCATGAGACAGGATATAAGTGTGAGAGATGGGCCGGAGAGTGGGATGAAGTCTCTGGTATCTGAAAGGCTTTTGAAGGAAGTGGGCATCAGGCTGGGTTTTAAAGAAAAAAAAGGTAGCTTTTATGAAACAGAAATGGGAGAGGCAGCTGGGAAGAGAAGAACATTCCAGGCAGAGGGAACCGAAGGAGCAAGAGCCTAACAGCAAGGAAATTCTGGGTGAGTTATGGGAGTACCACGTTTTGTCATAGGAGCAATTGAGTCACAATGCAAAGCAGACTGTGGTTAGGAGCCAGGTGTGTGAGTGGCCAGGGTAGTTGGGCGTTGTCAATTCCAAGCAGGTCCAGGGTGGTCCAGGGCAGAGATGCTGCTAGCCAGTGTGGCATCTTTAAGAAAATTAGAAAAAGGCACCCTTTCTGGACCCATAGCCCCTATGAGCAGAACCCTGACTGTGTTTTGGCCACTACACACCTACCCTCAACCCTCCTGCGGCCTTTGAGCAGTGAACAACCTTTATAACCAAAGGTCTGGAGCTGTGCAGGCTCATGAGGGAGGTAGGGATTGAGGTAGGGGTTCCACTGGTCTAACATGGTCACCAGAGGCAGCCAGAGGATGCCAAGAGTTCTCGATTCAAACAGGCCAGAGTTTGAACGTAGGATTCTGCCATTGTACCAACTGAGTGAGCCTTAGTCTCCTCGTCTGCAACATCAGGGTAATAATAATGCCTACCTAATGGGGATTTGGGTTGGATTGAGAGAGATATTAAGGTATAACTGGCATAAATACTCCTTCACCTAATGTTAGTTTTGTTAACTCTTAGCAATGTTCACCCTCAGCATCTGTCACTCCCAGCACTGGGTCCACAAAATGCTAAATTCTTCTGTGTAACTGCCCAAACATAATCTACCTGGGGGCCACAGATGCAAAGGTTGGGGGAGAAGGGGGGGAATGTTGGGGGTAAGGGTCTGGGTTCTCAGTTCCACCAGTCAAACCATTTCACAGGAGCAGATTGCTGCCTTTGCACTTGCACCAGGGCAGGGACTCGAGTGTGTTCATAGATCTCAGACCACCGGTGACTGGGAGAGTTAAGGTTAAGGAACGGGGTGTGGGGACCAACCAGCACTGCCCCAGAGCTCTGACCCAGGAAGCCACCCCATGGTTCCATGACCTCATCCTTCCAGAATGCACTCCTCCTCGGAAGGGAGCAGTGAAACACAGAGCTCATCAACTGTTCCCTCTCAAGGGGGCCATGATCACATTGTTACTGTTTATACAGTGTCTGGAAGAAGAATGGTAATTGTTATCTCTGTATGGACCACCAGGGGCTTGTGAGAAGAGGCTGGAAAGAATAGGCAGAGACAGCCCTCCCACCATCTCTGGCCATTTACCAATCTGGGCCACCTGGATATATTCTGCTTTTCTGGGGTTGATTTTTGTCACTTGCGGAATAAATGTTAATCAGACCACTGTCTTCCAGGCATTACCCTGGAGCCTCCTTGTGACGGGCTTCCTGGCCAGCCTGTCTGAGCATGAAAAGGGCTGAGCCAATGGGTGGTGCTGACTTGATGCATATGGTGGACATCTGTTGCATTTGTCTGTGCAGCATCCCTTCCCCCTTCTTAGAGGACAAATTGTCCTTACCTAATTCCCCAGGTGCTGGAGGGCCTGACAATTACAGTACCACTCCTAGGCCACAGCAGGTGGACCAGGTCTAGCCAATCTGAAATTCCCATCATCTAGCCAAAGTGATTGGCCTATGTTTAGACATGTGACTTGAGCTGGGCCAATCAGAGTGCTTCTCTGGGTATTTATATATGAATGCTGAAAGAGAGATACTCTCTTTCCTCGCTAAACTGGCTTAAGGGAGCTGTGGCCTCTCCCTCCTCCTGTCCTGCAGCAGGCAGTGTGAGAAGTCTGCTCAAAGATGAAAAAGACACACAGAGACAGAGACAAAGAGACAGAGATGGAAAGGAAAATGCATGTTGCTACCGTCTGCATTTCTAGAGTCTCTGAGACCTGCCTCACCCTTGTCTTCCAAGTGCCATGAAGCAATTTATTTTGGCTAATGCTGGTTTCAGTTGCGTTTTTGTCCCTCGAAAACAAAAGGCCTTCTGGATGCAATGGGATTTGAAGGCCTTTGGAAGGACACCACTAGCCAAAAATATTTCCCTCTCGGTGCCTGAAGCCCAGCCATTTGAATTGTCTGTCCTCTGGCTTCAGTTTTCAGCTGTCTCTGTGGCAGCCTTCTGGCCAGGTGCCCTGTCATCAGTGGCTGCCCATCTTGTGCAGGACCGAGTCCAAGCTCCTGGCAGTAGCCCCCACGGCCCTCTGTGTGCAGCCCTGGCCTTTCTGTTCCCTCACTGTCTAGTGCCATGTCCTCCATGACCCTGGATCACCAAGAGGTTTCACACCGCCCTCCCTTTGCTCAGGCTGTCTCCTCGGCCTCCTACTAGATAGCCTCCCCAGCCTGTGGACCTTCTGAACTTGCCCTCTGACCTCCTGTTGCATTTGACCAAAGTGAAGCAATGTCAGGGTAGGGAGGCAGGACCTTCCCACCTGGCCTGGCTGTGACCCCCAGCTCCCACCACACTGTATATCTCACCCTGTGTGTTAGAATTGGCTCTCTCCACTTACTCGTCACACCTAGAGGTGATATCAGCTCCCCACCCTCACTCGTCCCCAGGTACTTCACCACTCTTTTCTCTGAAGCTGCTCAGACCTGTCTTTTTAATTATCCCTTTGAGGGTACTACTATTTCCCACCAGCATCCCAACTGCTACACCCACTTCCAAGAGAATCTGCCCCTGGCCTGAGCTACCCACTGCGAACCAACCCAAACGTGCAGACACACACACACACACACACACACACACACACACACCACTGATGGGACCTGTATGGGGTAAAAAACCTTCGTTGCACTGAGCCAGCCAGATTCTCCTTGTTGAGAATTTGCACTGAGAGACCCCAAGGCCGGGACAGATGCTGTTGGTCGAGGCTTGCAACTTTGCATGACTGCAGGGGCCCATTCCAACTGCTGTGCTCCCCGGCGTACAGATCACTTAGAAGACACCTCGTGCGTGTGCCCTCTGGGGTTGTGCAGTAAGACGAGACTGCCATGGTGCATGGAAGGCCATGTGGAGTTAGTTGGGTGCAGCTGCAGCCCCCCAGCACCCTGAGCAGCAGAGGTTAAGCAGAAAGAGAAACCGGGAGGCTTGCTGGGGAGGCCAGCATACCCAGACCAGAAAGGAGCAGATGCGATTTCAGGGGCATAGAGCCCTGAGAGGAAGAGAACTGTAGGACAAGTCCATTGCCTGTGAGGCCTGGCCGTATTTCCTGCTTTGGTCTGGAAGATGCCACTTTGCTTTTCAATAAATTTCACTTTTATCTGAGCTAGTGTAAGCTGGCTTCTGTTCCTGACAACCACGGCCAGAGATGGCCAAGAATGTTTCCTTCCTTCTTCACCTGGATCACACCTGTTCTTCCTCCAAGACTCCACTCAAATGTGACCTCCACCAGGAAGTCTTCTCAAAACCTTCAGAGTGGCGTAAGGGTCCCTGCTCTGAGCCCACCCCCCCCACACACACGTATCCCTCTGTTCCTGCAGTGGAACTGCCTGGTACTGAGGTTGTGTCTGGGGGCCCGTCTCCCGCCCAAGGCGCAAGTCTTCTGCTGCCCCGGGGAGCGGGGAGGACAGGGGTGGGTGGGATGGGCAAGGGGCCCCTTGAAACATTTCTAGTTCAAGGTCAAAAGCCAGAGGCTTTGGGGCCAAGTGTAAGAGGGATGGACCTTTCAAGACTAAGGATAAGAAGGGGTAGTGAGTTTTGGGGTCCCAAGAGTGGCTCTTGCTGGGCGGCGCAGTGTCCATGGCAGCCCAGGCACCCTGCGGGGGTCGCCCACCTTCTTGGTTTGCTACTATTCCTCCAAATGGAGTGAAACTTACTGTCTCACAGTTCTAGAGGCTGAAGTCCAGATCAAGGTGTCAGCAGGGTTGGTTCCTTGTGAACGCTCTGAGGAAGAGTCTGGTCCAGGCTTCTCCGCTGCTTCTGGAGTTTGCCGGCCACCTTCCTTGTTCCCTGGCTTGAGACACATCACCCCGATCTCCGCCTTCCTGTTTGCTTGGTGTCCTCCCCCCCCCTGTCTCTTCGCCCAACATTTCCCCTTGTTATAATGACGCCAGTACTAATGAATTAAAGGCCCACCCTATTCCACTATGCCTTCATCTTAGCTAATTAATTACATCTGCTGTGAGCCTAGACATAGTCACATT